CCGGTGACCCCGCGCTCCAGGGCCCGGCCGCTCCCGTTAGCGGCCGCTGCCCACAGCCCCGCCCCGCCGCCGCGCGCCCGGGCGCAGGCGCAGAGCCCGCGGCGGGGCGGGGTCGAGCGGCGGCGGAGGCGGGGTCGCGAACTCTGACCCCCGGGAGCCGGAGCCGCACGGCAGCCAAAGAGCCCCGCCGGACCGGCCACCGGGCCCGCCAGGTGAGAGCGAGACCCCCGGCAGCCGAGAGACGCCCCCCGCAGCGGGCGCGGCCCGGCGGCGGGAGCACGGGGAGCGGGGCGGCCGCGCTGTAGCGGTGCGGCCCGCGCGGCTCCCGGCCGCCTCCGCTGCGGAACGTGCGGCGGAGCGCGCCCGCCCCGCCCCGGGGCCCGGCCCGGCCCCGGGCGGCCCCGCGCCCCCCGACCTTTCACCTACAGGAACCGCTTGCGTGTCCCGCTGCCCCGCATCCGGGCGGCGGCGCCCGCCGCTTCCCGCGGGAGCCGGGCAGGGGAGCCGCGCGGGCCGGCGGCGGCGGGCGATGGGCGATGCCCCCTCCTGCCGGGCCCCGGCCCCGCGCAGCCATTTTGTGCGGGGCGCCGGGCGGGGGCGGGCACGGCGCGGGCCCCGCGAACCGCCGGGCGGGGCAGACGCGGGGGCAGCGAGCCGGGCTGGCGGGGAGGGCTCCGGCGTTGTGCTATTAGCTTGGCCTCGACGCATCTCCCTCTCCCGAGCCCTGCGCCTCAGCGTTCCCGGGGCGTGACCCTGAGCTTCCCCGAACCCCCCAGCCACTCTTTGCCTGCCGACGGCATCGCCCCGCCGTTCCCTCCTCTTGTATACATCCCTGGCGGCTCTCCGGTTTTATTTGGGTTTAGATAGTATGTCCTGGGTAACACCCGGTATTATTCTTACTGGGTCAGATGACCCTGTCTCTGTTCCTTATTATCGTTGGGTAGAGTCTTTCTTGTAATCTGCGGACTTTGTGGAGCCTCTGTTTTTTCTTTGTTGCCGTTTGTTGCTTTAAGTGTAAAAAGCACGGCCGCATTCCCCAGAATGCGAATTCCACTTACATTTCCAGATTGTGGAGGGAATCGAGATACCATGTGTTGAGCAGGTGAACTTCCACAACAGAAGAGGGGGGAAAAAAGTCTTGATACAAGTTTCAATGAAAAATGAGTGTGCGGACATGATTCTTGAAAAATCAAGTTAGGCATTCATTCTTATGTGAAATCTCTGATTTGAAGCAGAGTGGACTTGGGAAAGTGCTATAGTCGAAAGAGCTGCATCCACACTTGTCATGGAAAAATAAGATGGGGAAAAAAACTGAAGTTGTTTTCTATAGGACAGCTTCCTGGTTTTGGAATCAGCGTTATATAAGTTAAAGTATCTGATCGGTGGGAAAACATCACAATTTCTGTTCCAGTTCAGACAGTGTTCATCAGACTGTTTCTAATTTTGTATGGCTTTTTCTGTAAGTTATTTTTCTGAAAACAATTCCGTGAATATTTTCCCCACCCCGTTAAGTCCATGGTTGGCAGCTGTGACATGAGATGTCCAATGGACAATTTAGCTCATGGCTTGCTCCTTGCTGTACAATTTTACTCAGGGACACTTGTTTGAGTGAAATCTTAAGGTCTGTGAAGTGTTTGACTGCTTCTCTCTGTAGCTCTTTCTCCGGAGAGATTGCTGAACCTCTCTTATCACAGGACTAAGTATTTTCATGTGATGGTGGTCAGCTGTATGTGTGCACGTGTGTGATAATACAGGGAAGATAACTGAGGTCATTGCCGGAGGGGTGTGCAGTCCTCAGCTGCTTCTGCGCTCCTTGTGCACTGCTCTGAATGGTTGGGCACCCCTTGCTAAGTCTGCTGCATTGTGCAACAAATCAAGATGCTTATTACAGAGAGAAACTCAGAGTAGATAAATTAGCTAGCTTTAACTCTTCTCCTCAATTATTATTAATATTTCTGGTTTTCTTACTGGTTGTATTTTCTTGTGAAATGTACTCTTGAAGGGAACAAGTTTCATTGGAGTGCTGATATCTTTAAGAATAGTTATATCCCAAGCTAGATTGCGGGATAAGAGGTTTTTTTTTGTTTGAGGTTTTCATGGTTCTGGTGCTTTTCTAAAGCCTACCTTAATTTTTCAGTTTAAAGTTCGTCGTCTGTGAAGCAAAAGCCCTAAGCAACATGTGTAACTCTGAAGCTGACATTGTTTTGGGGAAAAGGGGATTGAGCTGGATGGTCTCCAGAAGTACCTTTCAACATTAATTATTTAATGATTGTATTGTTATTAAAGGTCAGAGAGCAGACAGGTGTGCAGGGAGCCAAAACAAAACCCCACTGGTTTTATAGCATGCAGTTATATAGCTCACCTGTGAAATACAAATACAGAATACTTATAGCTGATGTGGTAGTCCAGTGAAAACTGACTTTGATCCATAATGTAAAGTCTCATATTTACAATAGTAAGGTTAGTTTGTTCCCTGTGCTTATACTCAATTTTTGCTTTAATATATTGTGTGCTTATTATAGTATGTAATTAAAGTTTGTGCAGCCAGTGAATTTGCTGGAGTTTCCTTGGAGTTTGTGAAGGAAAGCAGTCTCCCTAAAGAAAGTAATTTGTGTCTAATCTTTGGGTCAAAAAGACTTGAAAAAAAGAAGTACCTCTTGCTTAAATGAGGAGTTTATGTAAGGACTAGAATGGTGCGGCATCTTAACTTGTCCATGTTTGTTCTGCTGGTGGATGAAGTGTGGCTCTCCACTGGCAGGTGCTGCAGCTGGAACAGGGTATGTGTCTGTCCTGCTTCAGCAGCCATCCTGGCTTAAGCACTTTTAAGAGTAACTTTTGCTAGCATGCGTTGTTTTGGCTGATGGCGATTAGGGAGCCCTCAGGCCTGTGGTGGGTTTAACATCCCCTGTGAAGAAGCAGTAATCTGCTGGGGAGGGTTACCCACAGGCTCTGGCTGGCACAGCTCTCTGCTTTTTGTCACACACAGACTGCAGTGTGCAACCAGCAGTGACCATCAGGGGAAACTAACCTGTACCTGGGTTACTTTCTGGCAAAGTTATTTTAGTTTTTTTTTTTTCCCCCTCACTGGTGTTTCAAACTGCTTTTAGCACTTTCAACTTATCTACATTACTGTGATAAAGTAACCTGCTGCAAAAATAATTGTATCAGTAGAGTTTTATGCCTAAAACTGCAGAGGTACAGTTAATTCTTACTCTTGTGTATGCAGACCCATCCATATTTTTACCCTTCAGTCATCAGCTTTTAGTTGCAGAGATCACTGCATTACTTGCCAAAATCTTAAATCAGCAAAGGATTTATTTTTTGTAAAACCAAACTCTTTAAAATTCCAGTTCTCTGAGACTGGAAGATGGCTTGTGCTATCTGAGTCCTGTGTATCTGATGATGTAGTACTGCAGATTTTGTAAGGAAATACGCTCCTTCCTGAAGATCGTGGTCTAAGAACTGCCTTTCTGTATCAATATTTAGATTAATTTTGTTGACTTTGCCAAGCCGGCCTTCTCTAAAAGGTTGTTTACATTTATTTAACTTAAATTACTTTTGTTCAACTTGGTAGTAAGCCAGGCTGTACTAAGCACAGTATTTTAATGCCTTTGTCAGAAGTTAAAGTGGAAACTTTAAAAATATAAACCACCAAAAAACTAAAGCCAAACCCTCTGCTGTTGTTATATTAGCTCTCATAAATGGTTATTTCATTCCAAGTAAGTTGAGGTTGCTGTTTATAATTTAGCAGTAACTTTGTGGTATGAGAATTACCCTATTTAGTGTGGTAATGTGTATCCTTTGAAGTCTTAGCAGGACAGTGTGTCAACATGATTCTTATTTGGACTTATATTAAGACTTTTTCAGAGTGCCTTTCACATATTTTTAGGAATTGAAAAAATCTCAAACAAAAAAAAAATCACAAACACACACCCACACCCTCAACAAAATCTAATCCTGTGTAGTTGATAATGAAGGAAAAAAACAGGGAATCACAAAATTACTTGGGTTGGAAGAGAGCATAAAGATCATTAGTTCCAACTGCCCTGCCATGAGCAGGGATGCCATGCTCTACATTATTAGTTTGCTCAGAGCCCCATCAAACCAGGCCTTGATTGTTTCCAGGGATGGGGCATTCACAGCTTCTCTGGACAACCTGTTCAATCCCTCACCACCCTCACAGTAAAGAATTTATTAATATCTAATCTAAACCTGCTCTCTTTCAGTTTGAAGCCATTCCCCCTTTTCCTGTCACTACATACCCTTGTAAGTCCCTCTCCATCTTTCTAGTAAGCTCCCTTCACGTACTGCAAGGCTGCAGTTGAGTCACCCTAAGCCTTCTCTTTTCCAAGCTGAGCAATTCCAATTCTCTCAGCCTTTCCTCATAGGAGATGTGTGCTATCCCTCTCATCATCTTGGTGGCCTCCTCTGGACTCTCTCCAACAGCTCCATGTCCTTCCTCTGCTGGGACTCCAGAGTTGGATGCAGCACTGCAGGTGGGGTCTCACAGGAGCGGAGCAGAGGGGCAGAATCCCTTCCCACAACTTGCTGGCCACGTGTTTTTGGATGCAGCCTGAGGACATGTTTGGTTTTCTGGGCTGCCACTCCACAGTGTTGTGTCCAGCCTCTCATCCAAGAGAACCCTCAAGTCCTTGGCAGAGCTGCTCTTGATCAGTTCATCCCCCAGAACATTTTACATGGGACAATGTCAGCAGTGATTTACTGGAGTGATATGTGAGAAACAACAGTTTTATCGTACGAGGGTTTTGCTTCTTTTGTTTGGGTTTTTGTTTTGTTTTTCCTTTTAATCTGAAGGAAGCTTCCATGGATATGCAGATGTCCAAGTTTTGTAAGGGTGTCATATTAGCAGTATTATTGGAGAGGTTTGCTGCTTTCTGTAGAGTATCTTCATGTATCAACTACTTCATCTGTGGCAGTAGTTCAGTGAATACTCCAAATGGTTTGTTTGGCATGATAGATAAACTGGTGTAACATTGTGTGCTTTTTTCCAAAAAGAAGTGGTCTTGATTCTGCTTCTGCTTGGTTTTCCTGTGTTGTGTGTAACAATTGTTACCTGCAGGGCGAATAAAGTCAGAAGATGAGTTTACAGCTATACAACCATGAAGGCAAGTGCAGAGTGGAACAAAGCCAGCAGTGGGGCTACCTCTCCTGAAATACTGTAATTGTACCATAGAGAATGCATTGCCTCCAAGTGTTAGGAAAGAAGGGTTTGCCCTTGCTGTGCTCTGTTAGGGTGATCTTTCTGTGGCACCTGGAATGGACATGGTTGAACCTAATCCAGTGAATGGGGAAGTCTTCAGTCCTATGAGCGTCTTGGTTCATGATGCAGCTTTAGCTCTGGTGCAGGGAATCAGTTTGGGTTTGTTTTTTTTTTTCTCATTTTTTCCTTCTGCAGGTTTCAGGTAGAGGTGCAGGCTATGGCTGACAGTACACAGGGCAGGTTAATCTGGTTAAGTGGCTGTCTCCTTACCTAGCTCTGGCATGTAGCCAGTGCTCCTGTGAGTAGGCTCCACTTGCGGACAGCCTTTGCCTTTCCTCCTCCTTTTCCCAGTTGGCTACAGGACTAGTGAGCTGAATTAGCTCACCTCTAGCTGATGGGGGAGGTTCTAGAGATACCATGATAAAAGAAGCAGAAGCCAAGGTCTAAAAGTGGGACCAACCCTTTGGTGGCCCAAACTGTAAAAATTATTTGTTAGTCACCTGAAAATTTATCCTAGTGATTCTGTTTTCTCATATTTCCTCCCATTGTAGCACTTGCTTAGAAGTAAAGGTAGTGAGAGAACTGATTTTAAATTAATTGCACAGGCATGCCTGCAAATGCATCTCTTTCTGTATTGCTCTGTGCATTTTAATTACTCCCTTATGCTTTTGCAAGCATCTCATTTTCCCTTGTTTGCCTGCAGGATCAGCTGCTTCAGTTTTCTGTTGCTACTTATCCCTTATATATGCACTGTCTAATCTTGATCTCTTGGGAGTTTAAAAAAACAGTATCTAACTGGGTGTCAAGGGTCACATCAATATTCCTCAATTCATTAATAAAGAGATTCTTAGTCCTTTAAATCTGCCAACTGTTTTACCCTCTTGAATAGTGTGGCTTATGGAACAATAATCCAGGAGTAGCTCATTTAGCTTGCTGTGTTCATTGAGCTTTTCCGGTATGAAGCACTGAGCACAGTAACATCATTTGTTTCACAAATGTGTTTGAATTCCTTGGATTAGTTTATTATCTGTAAAGCATTGCAGAAAACTGCTCTAACGTGTAAAGAAATCTTGGGGGGTTCTTTAACTTACTTAAGAACTAACTCAGGCACATTTAGTCATAGAGGGATCGTTAAGTGCATTCTATTTTATATGTAGGAGTTTATTAAACAACTTTGGCACAGGTTATGCTGAATTCTTAATTAGTATATGATTAGTTTGCTAATGGAAGTGAGAACTAGTTTCCATTATAAGGTACAGAGTACCTGTAAGCCCAATGTCATGACCTGAGCTAAAATCCTTAGTTGACTTTGAGATATATTGAAATCATTCAGTACTGAAGCAGTTTGACTACAGAAAGAGATTGTTTCCTCTTCTTTTGCAGTTAGTTTTCTGTTATATTGACTTCTTGAGCTTTCTGTTGACCTTCCTGTATTTGTCTTTATTGTGTGTTGTAGTTTAACCCCAAGCACCACTTGGGCACTCCCCCACCAGTGGGACTGGGGAGAGAATTGGAAGGGTAAAAGCTGGAAAACTCTTGAGATAAGGACAGTTCAATAAGGAAAGCAGAAGCCACACAGAGAAGCAAAGCAAAACAAGGAATAATTCGCTGTAGCCAGTTGACAGGCAGGTGTTCAACTGTCTCCAGGGCAGGTTGTTGGTTGAATATCGGATGTGATGGCAAGACCCTATTGTGTGTAATGGCTACTTGGGGAGACAAATGCCATTGCTCTGTCTTCTTTCTCTTTCCATTTTTATATACTGAGCATGATGTCATATGGTATAGAATATACCTTTGGTCACCTGTCCTGGCTGTATCTGCCACCCATCTCCCATGAACCTCCAACTTCCTCACCAGTATGGCAGCATAAAAAGCAGAAAAGGTCTTGGCTGTATGTAAGCACTGCTCAGAAATAACAAAAACATCTCTGTATTATCAGCTCTGTGTTCATGACAAATCCAAAACACAGCCCCATACCAGCTACTGCAAAGAAAGTCAACTTTCCCCCAGCCAAAACCAGCACACTGATAAAAGAACAAAAAGGTAAAGTTCACAGTAACTTCTGCAGTCATAACTAGTTAATGTACTTGTACCCCTAAAGTATCTAGAACATAGTTGTGTAACTTCATTAGTTTAACAGGTTGATTTCGTCTAGGAAAGACCCCTGCATTAAGACATATTCCATACACAGTTATTCATTCCATGCATAGAGAGTTAAACTGGTTTAACAATGCCAGCAGGGTAAGTTAAACGACTAAAATTTTACAAACATTGTTTTTGTACCAGTAAAACTGGTCAGGGGTATGCAGTACTTTTTTCCAAAGTAAACTGAAGATCTTTGTAACGGACAGAATTTTCTCATATTGTATCTTTATGCTCATGCGGTTTGTTCTTACTTGTTTAAAGGACATTACATCAGAATCAAGGCGCTTCATAGTGGGCCAGCTATACCAACAGTGTAATATGATAAAATCAGAGGTGTTGTCTTTTATATCAACTTGAGCATCGACACATAAAGAAATATACTTCCTGGTACTACTTTAAGGTCCTTAGTTTACTCTGTGTATAATACTTTAAAATACTATTAATAGGAGCCTCTTACTAGAACAATTAAAGTTGTGTAACTTTTGTCCCTGGAGAAGGGTAAGTTAAATGGTGATGTCTTCTGGGTATAACTTAACTGTAGTATTGGACAGGTTAGTGCTTCTGACTACCAACCCTCAAAATTGCTGTCAGTTCTCATGGGAATGTTTCCTGACCCATTGTAGTTGAAGTCAGCCTGAAATACTTTAAAAAGTAAGCATTTAATAAGTTATTTTGACTAAAACATTGAGAAAACTCTTCTGACATATAAAAGCTGAGAAAGAAGTAGAGAGGAGGGGTTTCATTGGTGCAAGCTAATAAAAGTTTTCCACTGCTATGGTAGCCTACACAGTGCTTATCTTAAGTAGCAGTGGACTTGATGGTACCAGATTCACCACCACCCTGTTTGTACTAATGATTGATAGTGATGCATTTAAAAATAATTCTGAGTCTTGTCAAGAAGGTTCACTAACTCATTTACTAGGGACATAAACTAACAATATATAATTTACAGGCAAAAATATTTTGGTAGCATTTTGAGTCTGAAGATTGAACAGAAAAGCAGTAAATGCATTTTAATGCATTTAAGAGGAAGTCTAATGCCTCCCTTCTGTCAAAATGCCTGCTTTTAGATGCTGCTTCTAGTGGATGTGGGGATTGAGCTTTTGTAAGGAAAGGAGATGGATATATAATTCTGTTTATTATTTTTTCAAATGTTTTTGAAGCAGCTTCATTTTTAATTTATTTATGTGGCAAGTAATGCTGTCAAACACTCAAGGAATAAATTGAGAACAAGTGCAGTGATCATCCTTGTAAAGCAGGTATAATCAGTAAGTACAGATGCTGATATTTGTGTTACTCTATACCTAGAGCAATTGAAGCAAAACATTTCTGTGCTGTGTATCTTCTGAGAAGAGGATTTTTCCCTGTTCCTAGAGATAAGAAAATACACAAAGGGATCATCACGGACTAGGGGAATACAAGGCTGCCCAACTAGAATGTATGGTATGTTTGCAGAGACAGCGATCTAATCATATTGACAGTCTTAATGTTGTTAATTTGACATAGTTGCCAGCAACACATCTCTTTAAAGGAAAATTTTAGAAAGGTTATGTTTGTTCTGTAGTTTTACAGTGTGCCACGTTATAATGGTAGATCTGCAGAAAGTTGTAGAAAGAAGTAAGAGGTTAAGAAGAGCTTAAGCTTTGACAGTCTCAGTGGCTAAATGGCTGTGGAACAAAGCACTTCTTACCACTTCATTTTTCAGAAATTTAGTGGTAAATGTACAGGCAAGGATCTTAGTCTGATGTGAAAAAGGGAAACCAGTACAGCGTTTGAGTAATACTTGTTATAAGTGGCTATAGGTTTGCTGGTTGAAACAGCAGCAGTTGAAAATAATTTTTGCAGCAGTATTCAAAGTGAGATATAAATGAGGTAAAAATTATTTGGGCAATGTTTGTAAACACAATATAATACTTGTGTGTTGGCAGGAGCCTTGGCTTTCCTTTCTCTCTTGTAATCATAATATAACTAATATTATTACAGTTCTTTTAAGAACTGTAAGAAGTTCTTAAAGTTTAATAAGTTCTTTCTTGGACATTATAAAGCAGATCCTAAAAGTATGTGCAGCTTTTTTATGTTGTAGCCTCTGGTCTTGTAGAATTCCAGGTTTCCTCCTTTCAGTGTTTTAGATAACTTTAGAAAGGAAGTAAAAATTTTATTATCAGTCTTAAACATCTGAATAAAATCTGGTTTATTGTGATTTGTCTTGTTCATTTTGAAAGGAGAAGAGTATTCTAAGGAAAATACTGTCAATTAATTTTTACTCCATCTCCTTTTTTCCTATACTAGCAATAAACTTTTCTCATATAGGGCATATCCTTTGGATGTATGTGGCATGGTTTTGACAAGCGTAGAAAACAGCATTTCTGAAAGCAAGAAGATTCATATTAGATGAGAACACCTTCAAGATCACTTCTGGTTATTGAAGATCAAAACTCAGACTGATAATACATAGCCTCATTTAGGTTGAAAAAAGATTGAATTCATCTGTTAACCCTGCACCCCTGTGGTTGCCACTAAGCCTGGTGTTGTACACTTCCAGGGATGGCAATTCCACCACTTCCCTGGGCAGTCTGTGCCAATGCCTGACTACTCCTTCAGTGAAGAAATTTTTCCTAGTGTCTAATCTAAATCTCCCCTGGTACAACTTCATTCCTTTCAGGTGCTTGTAGAGATTTGCTGTGCCTCCCTTTCTCCAGTCTGAACACCCCCACCCCCTTCAGCCACTCCTCAACCAGTTAAGCTGCAGCTCTGTTGCCCTTCTCTGGACATTGTCCAGCACCTCAGAGTCTTTCTTGCAGTGAGGGGCCCAGAACTGGACATGGCATTTGAGGTGTGGCCTCACCAGAGTGGAGAACAGGGGAACAGTCACTGCCCTGGTTCTGCTGGCCACATTTGCTGATCCAGGCCAGGATGTCATTGGCCTTCTTGGCCACGTGGGCACACACTGGCTTGTATTCATGACCAGCACCCCCCAGGCCTCAGCCCATTGATCCAGCCTGTCCAGATCCCTCTGCAGAACCCTTCTACCTTCCATCAGGTCAGCACTCCTGCCCAGCTTAGTGTCATCTGCCAACTTAGTGAGGGTGCCCTCGATCCCCTCATCCAGATCATTGATAAAGATGCAAGACAGAGCTGATCCCAGTACTGAGCCCCGGGGAACACCAGTGGTGATTGACCACCAGGTGGATGTAGCTCCATTTACCACCACTCTGGGCCCAGCCAGGTTCTACCCAGGGAGCCCTGGTCAAGCCATGAGCTGCCAGTTTTTCCAGGAGAATGCTGGGGGAGATGGTGTCAGAGGCTTTGCTAAGCTCTGGGTAGGCAACATCCATGGCCTTTCCTTCATCCCCCAAGTAATTTTCTTTGCTGAGAAATGAAGGTTATAAGGTGTTTATGGAACACTTCTTTGAATTTAGAATATATTTATTATTCCATGTGAAACAATTCAGCCACTGAGAATGTTGGCTGGAGTAACTCAGGAAAATAAGCTTTTAAAAACATAAAAAATAGGCTGAATTTTAAAATTTACATAATAGAAGAAAAATAACTGAAGCAGTTTTTTTCTACTTAATTCCTTGCAGGGATGTCTAAAGAGTGATTAAGCATACCTGATATGAAGTCTAACACAGATACCCTAGGTAAACAAAATAAGAACTACAAAACCTTTTACAGCTGTCCCAAAGTTAGCTGAGAATTTGTAGATAGTTCTCCTTGACCTGTCCTGCTCCCCTGTCCCCAGAACAGCTTAACACATAGCTGTTCCTGAGAGGGGGGGGGGGTCCTTGCTTCTTGCTCAGGTGGCTGTGGGCTTGTCTGACTCCAGAGTGACCTGCATCACCCAGCTGGCTGGGCCAAAAGCAATGGGTATAGTTTCATGGTGCAGTTCAACTGAATTGTCTGCTTCCAACCAATAACCATGGAATGGAGGTTTGCCTCCTTCTCAAATCTTCCTTCTTTTCCTCCCTCTCTTGACTTATAACAACATATTCTCCCTTCTGGCTGTGATAGAATTAATCTGACTGCAAAAGAAATAAAGTTCATTGTGCTTACCTAGATAATGTTTGGTGCATTTCTGCCAGCTGAGTTTTCTGTCCTTTTAGTAAGTTGAATTTTCCTACTGTGGGGTCAAGACCACTGCAGCTTGGTCAGGGTGAGCAGGACTACTTTCCTGGGAGTGAGCTGTAAATTCTGTTCAAACTGCTTTTGAAATTACTCCTTGACTCTGCAAGTAAAAAAGAAGTTTCTGCCAATTCAGTTGCTTGAACTGATTTCTCAGGCATTATGTGTATGCCAGTGCATGAAGAGATGAAATTATAAATCAAACATGGAAAATGGGATAGGAACGGCTATTTCAGCTCTCCATATCTCTAGCTGATTTGCAACATGAAATGCTGTGCAAAAGTTTATACCTGAAATATTGAAGCTGATTTTTTCACTGTTATATATGCTCAGTTACGTGGTTTATTTGAGGTGCTTTCAATTAAGATATTTTAGTACAGAGTACTGCTGTTACAAATACTGCTTTTGTCAGTACTCTTTGGTTTAGGGATCGCTGAGTTAACTAAAGCAACAATACACAAAAGAATCTTCTTCTGAGTGTTTATGCAAATTGAAAGTGCAAGTGTCAAGACATAAAACACCATGTGAGTAATATATAAATTCTTGTCAATAATAGTGAGTACATTCCTTTTCCATTGTGTACATGCTTCATATGCTCAAATTGTTTGTGTAGCTTTGACAGCTGGTTCTGCATCCATAAGTTGAACCACGTTGTGGTTGTTCCAGACAATATGAAGAAGTAGAACAGGTTCAACCTTTTCTCCAGGTTCCTCGTCATCATAAGAGTTCAGTCTTGTTTGTGTACTTGATGTCCTGTGTTCATGCAAGTGTAGTTCAAATTAGTCTCTTTTAGATAAATTTCAAAAATTCTCTGGTAGTTTTATCCCTCTCTGAGAGCCAGTTTCCCTATGACTGGTGCATTGTAATTGAATACATATGCATTCCTTCACAGCTTTACTCCAAGGTGAAACATGTCAGTTTAAATCACTTTCAGTCTTCACTAAGTTGTTTTACTTAGCTCACATCTTGACTGTGAGGGCAGTCTCATCTGATTTAGGAGAGCTAACCAGTTGATGCAAATTAATACCTCAAAGTGATTTCTTTGTTATTTTGTAATGAAGTAGCACTCATTTCTGGCACTCTATATATCAACAGTACAATATTTTATTGCTAGTATTTTATTTAAAAGAAGAAAACATTGATAAGACACATTGCCTGCCTTGAAAATTCCAAGTGCTCTTTAAGTAGTGATTGTGCTTCTGCTCACTGGATGCAGAAGTGGGCTAATAGAGTGCTCCTGTAAGGATGCTGACACCTAGATCTTCCTAGGAGATAATGTTTTCAGCATAAGCTTCAGTATCATATCTCTATATGCATGCCTGTTATCTTTTGTCCTAATTTAACTAATAGTGCAGCATGCTAATGAGTGATTAAGAATGGTCTACAGTATACAAATGTTTCTGTATTTCCCCTTTCACACATTAATTAGGCTTTAGTATACCATTGGGCACACTTCCAAGGCCTGCAGTTCTTGCTCTAGTAAAAAAATACTTTTCTTTCTAGTTTTAAGAGCAGAATTAGCTTGAGTTAAATTTGAGTTAAAAGTGAGTTAAATTTTTTATTTGCATGGCTGGGGAGGTTTCGAGTTTCATTGAGGAGGAGTTAATTCCTAGGAGTTCCAGAGAAGTTAAAGAATGAAAACCAGTATTAGTGTAAGAGTAGTGTCTTTGTTCATACAACAGGTAGGTATTGGAGTGTTTTTAATTTGCTTTTGTCAGTAAAATTGTTTATATGGTGCTTTATAATTTGTGAATGTTCCTTTTAAGTACTGCCTAGTGAATATTTGGATATCAATATTATAATATATGCCTTGCCAAATAAACAAGGCATGCATCTGAATCCTTTCTGCTGTGTTAATGTACAGTATTGTAGTTACAGCATCTTTTTTTTTAAACACTTATCTTCTGTGTCCCAAGTACTGCCTCCTGTTAGTTACAAAATTGACCTTCAAACACTCTTGTTAATACTAAAATATCTGTATGAGTTCAGAAGTTAGATTTGCCCCTCTAGATTTGCATTAACAAAAATTGTCTGTGTTCCAGTTTTTTATGATGTTAAATATGTACCTGCTCATGTCATGGTCAGTAATAGACTTCTGTTCTTACAGTGATTTTACTATATTGTTGTTTGTTGGAAAAGCAGAAGAGGAAAAGTAGGAAGTCTCTGTGAGTTATTGAAATAAAAGAATACAAAGTTTTCAAATAGCAAATTATTTATTTTTATAATATAAGCAAACTTTAAATTCTGCAGGGATATCATCTTCATAAAACCATGAACGCACTCATGTGAGCTATATTTTCCCCAGAATATTTTTATTTTTGAAACTACAGATGTTAAGCATCTTCTTTCCTTTCTTTGACAGGAAATTCTGGTGATTAAAGATCATGGCAACCATAGAGGAACTGGCCAATCAAATTTTTGAACAGCAAATGGGAGAGGTATATAAATTTATGAGTCCTATTTAAAAGAAATTGAATAATAAAATGCACAGACTGATATGTAAAAACCAAAATCACAAAAGAAAATTTTTGGTACAGACAAGGCTTCTGGACACTTCTCTCAGAAGGCAGAAGAGCCTACTATGCCCATTTTAAAGTTACGCTGCGAAGCCTTTTTTGCCAAAGCTCGCTCCACAGAAATTAAGAACAATCTAGCAGTGTTTCCAGTTAAGTCACTCGCTTTTCAGCTTGCTGTCTGAGCCTGTAGTGGTTTTCAGAGAGCCATCTGGTTGTGTAATTGCATTACTCACTTTTAGTTAAAAAAGTCAGGACGCAGCTTTTACTTTACAACTATGCAGTTCATTTGTCATTTTTGTTTTCACTAGCAAATTTTTGCCAGGTTCTTCACTTGCAAATATATGTGCTTTCTATGTGTCAAAAGAAAGATTGAGCTCTTGTTTCTGTAGCTTTCTAGTTTTGATTCTGTGTGACTTGTGTGCAGCATCTGTGTGCTGCAGTCAGAGAACTGCCAGAGATGCACAGGTAGTTTGAGAATGTGGATATGAGTATACATAGTTATCTAGAAAGTTTTAACATAGCACAGACTATTTAAAATTAGTACCTCTATAAATTAGATAGAGGCAGTAGTTTATTTATCTTAAATAAATGTTAGTTTTTAGCTTGAAATATCCACTCTTGGATTCTTGTCTAGACGTAGACTTACTTGTCAAGTAATTTTATTTCCTCTCAGCATTGATTTCAGATTGAAAGGTTGGAGTGAAGGATGGGATCGTTAATTCTACTCTGAAAAAATTCTCACACCTTTTATTTTGGTAGCATATGAGTGTTGCTAAGGCTATCTCAAAAGAACATAAGTGATTTATGGGATGTATGATGTTTGCTTGTTATTACTTGTCCTCTTTATTAGGCAAGAACACATGTTTAATGCAGTTTTGTTTTGGGACTATAATTCTTTGTTAAAGTCTAAATAGGGCTGTATTTCCTGTTTAAATTTGTTTCTTTTTGACAGTGTAAGGCTAGTCAAAGCTAGCCGAAATGTACATTCCACTCAGAGGATGATATGATAAGGGTGTTTAGCCTCTGGGGGGTTGTTTCTCACTTTCATAATGTGATTCCAGGAGATGCTGAGCTGATTTACTATCTCAGTACCATGGGAGAGAGAGGGTCCTTTTTCGGTTTCTTTCCTTATTAATTTCCTCACCAACAGTGAGCTAATAACCCAGCCAAAACAAGTGGAAGGTTTCTGCTGGGTTAGCATAGAATAGTGTCTGAGAAGGCTCCAATGACTCCCAAAGCCAGCACTAATGTGGCGGCCTGGGGCTCGGGGTTCCGTCCAAGCCCTGGCTGCCGCTGCCGTAGGTGTCCCGGACAGCACTGGGCTGTCGGGCTCAGCCTGTCTGGGTCCCTCAGGCGAGCTGCAGGCAGCTTAGCGAGCACCTCTGGAGTGATTTCAGCTCTGCTAAATTCAGCTCTTAGTGATTTCAGCTCGGTTCTCGCCAGTTCCTTAGGCAGACGCAGGGAGATGGAGAGAGGAGAAGTCTGTATGCGGTTCCACAGTGGTGTCTTTAATTTCCTGTGAAGGGGTGCAGTGACAGACAGCTCTTCTGCTGACCTGGGCAGAGATGGGGGTTGATATAAGTACAGGGTTGTTGGAAATTGTCCAATGGCCAAGGTTGAGGAGAGTATGACCTATAGCCTTACAGAGAGATAACAAGGGTCTGAATGCGGAAGAGGGGCTTCTTTGTTCCAGTCTCCGTGACTAAACATTTCTTATCTTAGGCGAGTGGCCGCCAGGGAGGCCTTGCAGGGCCTTTGACTGCTACACAGCACAAAGAAGATGGCTGGCAGCCAAAGGAAGGCAGGCAAGAAAACAGAAAGAGTGAAAGTGCAGTGCTATAGAGAGCTGTAGCTGTTCTTGTTCATGGTGAAATCGCAGCTCTGCAGTTTTCATGGCTGTTGTTTTCTCAGCAGGGTAGATTAGGATTTGTCCTTTAGCAAGGTTTTACTATGTCTGAGATGGTCACACCACATTTGGCAGCAGTGCAGCTTAACCATTCCTCAGTCCTCACTTAGCCACTTATTCTCACGCTATGTTAGTCTTGCTCATGTAAGCTCTGTGTGTCATCATGCTGTGGACAAAACTAGCAAAAAAATTACTGACGGCATAGGGGAGGAAGGTCATCTCCCTGTTGCTTGTGATCAGTGTCCGTATTTCGTACAAGGTGTAGCCCAGCCAGGCACAGGGTTGGAAGGACTGAAAAGCATCCCTGAGGACAGAGCAAGCTGGGACTCCTTAAGCCAAAATTGTTGTCAAAAGTGCATGCCATGTATGAATGTGCTGCCTGAAAGGTGGAATCAAGCAAGGAAAGCAGTCTCACAGGGGCCTCCGTGCAATAACTTACATTCCTGCCTACCTACAGGCTGTAATTGCTTGGTGGCATTCCTAATCACTGAAAAATGATAGTTTAAGATCTAGAGAGCTTTAGCAGTATTTTTGCTAGCATTTATAATACCCTTGAATGTTGAAATAGTTTTAATTGAATTTACAAGAAAAATTTACAAGAGTAGAACCTGAAAGGAAAAAGTGTTCCAATATTGAGGAGAATGGAAATGCTTCTGTGTCTTATTGAAATAATGGTCAGAAGTGTTTTGTACAGATATTTTTATTGTTTTATAATATTAATTGTTGTTCATGAAGCATTTTAAATCACTAAATTACCACAGCAATTTTACAGTGGTGTTCACAAACATTCTTTTTTTAATTTAGGGCATTTTGCATGAAAGCAAAACATAGAAGCAAAATATAACTATGTCTGTATGGGTCATTGTGCAGTGATTATCATTGCTCAGGTTCTGCCATCTGCTAGTCATCTTTTTCTCAGTGCAAGATAATTCCTGTTTCTATATCAAGACCACATTTCTTGAATCATGTAGTGAAGCTCCCTGCCAAGAGCATTCTTTAATCTCTGGCTGGGTACACTAAGTGGTTAATTTCCACAGTCCTGCCAGTTTACTGTAACAGAGGAAAGCTACATCTTTGTTGAAACAGTCTGTCATACACATAAAAAGTACAATTCTTAACAAATTTTGCAGTTACTCTTATCATTATTAACTGCAATAAAACCCCTTGTATTCTGCATAGAAATAAAACTGTCAAACTGACATTTTGTGGGATTAAAAAGTAGTTGTACCTTACACAACATGTGGATCATGACATTTTAAGGGAACAAATGTGAAACAGTTCTAGAAGATGTATCTTATTTTGTAAAGCAAAGGTAAATGTACATAAAACTTTAATTGCTTCTGAAACACCACGTGTACCTGTCGATTTGAGTAGCTGATGTGCTTGAAAGTACCTCTCTTGAACTGAAAATGCTGCTGGTTAATGAACAGTTTTTGTCCTTTACTTAAGCAAAGAAGCAGATGAATTGTTTAAAAGTACTTGTACTCAGAAAAATCGGATATTTTTACAAAACAGTGTCTAGAAATGGCTTGGGCAGTAGTTTGACAAGCATTTCTTTTGGTGGTGCTGGCAGTTTAAGTAATCTCCCTAGCAGATTAGCCTCACTGTTTCTCTGATGTGTCTGCTTCTGAGCATTGTGAAGACTGGATTGAAGGTTTGATCTGTGCTAAGAATAGCTTTTGTTTGCTGGGCTGCTTTTCAGCCTGCACGGGTGTCTTGTTCCAGATCACAGAATGACTAACCAGCCAGTTTAACCTAGGAAGATGAGGGGAGAGGAGCAAGTAGATTATGAGACTGCTGCCAAAATTAGCACCTTTTTGGGCAAAATTTCAAAATCAACATAGGCTGATTTCTGCTATAAGGGGAAGTGTTACCCTCCACCCTGTCCCTCTCTCATACTGACCTCGAGCTGCATGTTCTGGCCTGCTTTTGTCTGCTGGTGCTAGCATTTAGATGATGACATGGTTGCAAAATCAGGAAGCTGATCCAGGAGGAACAAAAAGCCTCACAAAATGTTATGAAACAATACCTTTACTTCAATATGCATATATATTCTCTGTATTAATTGGGAGGGGCAGAGGAATGCTTGTATAATGGTGTAAATACTGGGAATTATTGGTAATACAGATTTGCAGGATGTTGCAGGCAGTTTTGTGAATAGCAAAAAGGTTTCAGAGTTACCTGGGAATTTAAGACAAAAATTTCAATTTGAAGGTGTCTGTAATCTCTGTGAAGACAAATTCTCTTTGTACTGCAAAAAATCTGACCTTTCTGATCAAGCCTCTACAAATAGCAGCTGTCCTTAATTTTTATTGACAGATAATGTAATAAATAATATAATACCTTCTACCATATGCCACAGGCTGTAGGCTGTGACGAATTTTTAAAATACTGATAATTGTTAAAACACTTCCATTAATTGTGTTTGAGAGCATTCACACAGAGATTTTAATATAAGATACAGTCTTTGCAAACTTCAGTCAATTCCTTTTCCCTACCTTTGTTAATAGTTCCCCATTAAAGAATTATTTAACAGAAAAATAAAATTGAAACTGCCAATTGCTGGTTCCATACAAAAAAACCCTTGTGTCACTTCAAGTGAGCCATTAAAGTACATTTATTGCAAACATAGCACGGCTATGATGATAGGTATTTTGTCTCATGAACATCAACTGTAGTAAATATTCAGTTTGGTTGACATACATGGACTTGTCAAAAATTAATTGCTTTACTTAAAGTGTTTGTAAGTTTCATGTTGGAAGGTATGTCAAAATGGGCTTAGATCAGAATTTTCTAATTAGAGAAATTAAGGTGTTGAATTCAAGCATTCGCATTTTTTACAGATTAAGAATGTCAGACTTTCCATGGCCTTATTCAGAGAAATTGGAAGTTGATGAAACCTGAAGGTTTAATCCAGTAAGGTAGTGGATCCATTAAAATCGTGTATCTGTTGTCAGTCTATTGCATTTGTTTCTTCTTTCTAGGTTTCACATTCCCAGCAAGGTGGTACACAAACACTAATGGATGGGACTCCACAACGAATACAGATTGTCCCTACAGACTCGGGCCTCTCTTTATCACAGCGTATACAGGTATGCTTCATCTGACGCATTTTAAAAGCAGAGATTAACTATTTGCTTCTGCCAGTTTTCCACATGCAGTTTTTTGGTTTTTTTTGTTTTCATCATGTTGCTGTTTTAATGTAAATATTCAGCCCCAGATGACAGAGACCTTTTCCGTATAAATAGGAATAAAACATCATTTCAGTCTTTCCTCTCTTTTTCCTTTTTTCTTTTTCCCTTGTAAGAATTTTAACATTACAAAAATCCTAACTCCCTGAACAGAAAAATATTTTTTGCAAGTGAAGCTATTCCTTGAAAGTTGACTTTTTGGCAGTTCAACTAAGGTGGCGGATTTCTACATTTTGGAGCAGAAGCAGGGAGGGAAATACTGCATTATGTCTTTGAAGCAATGAAAAAGTGCAGAGAAGCTTAATGTCTGAGAAGAATACTAGTTTTTAGTTGTCCCAACCCATGGTGCATGTCTTGGTATTATAATCCATGACTTGCCCAAGTAATAAGCTCCAGCTGAAGTGAGAGTAGTGAAGTTTCTGGCAAAGTAGGTACTTAAATCTGCACAGAAATGTGTATAGGGAGACTAGGAACATTTGGGGAATTAAATTTTAAGTTTTATGCTTTAGAAGTCAGTGCAAGTCAGTTTTATTTTTAATTTTCATTGTAGAGAAAAATATCAACTGTGGAATAAATGTAAAAAATATTCTCAGATATATATTGTTCATACAAAAGCACTCATTTAAGTGAGCCAGCTGCAACTGTAATCTTGGCTGCTTTTTGTTTTACCAGCTTCACTAAAAACATTGTCCTCTGTTTTTCTCCTGTTTTGGTGCATTATGTTCAAGCTTTCAACCATCCAAGGCTCTTCACAACCACTCCCTATACATTAAGGGTTTTTCTTTTAGATTTATTACCACCCAACCTGTGATCCAGTTGTGGTATCTTACCAATCTTGGTAAGGTATCAAGATTGGTAAGATACTTCGAGTCTTACCTACAGGATTGGTAAGACCAAGGTGTGGTTTTACCAATCCTGTAGGTCTTCAATCTTTCAGCTACCTCTGCTCCGTTTCTACACTTCGTGTACAGCTGTACTTTTTATTAATTAATTTGTAGTCATCAATTAAACACCATTCTGTCTTCAAAAAGGAGAGTAAGCACTTTGGTTGTTGTCTCTTGATGTGTGTGGAACAACACTAAGTCAAAACACTCATCCTTCCTGCAAGAGACATCTGCAAACTTAGTAATAAAAACTTTGCTCAGAGAAGAACTTATGTGAAGAACAAAGTAGTTTGTAGAAATTAATGTATCTCAGTGAATGTCCACCATAAATGTTACATTGAATAATTTTGAGTATATCTTTTCAATCACTGTTTTTTCCTTTATTATTATTAAATGAACCTAATTACCTGAAATAATGAAACAGAAAATCCTCAGTAGAAAGTTCTTTAAAACATGTTTTATTAGTCACTCTTCTTAGGGTATGCTGGCATTTCTTCTTGGAGAAAAGATGAATGTTACATTTGTTCAACAGGCATTCTGCACAAAATTGCACCTGTTACAAACAAGTGTATTAGTTGTCTGTGTTTAAACATTTTCTTTTTTGTGAAATAGGAACACACAGTTACTGAGGTGTTTAATTTATTGAGATGATGTTCAAATAGAAATCAAAACTTGTTAACAAACAAGGCATAAAACCAATAAAGGAAAGTACTATCTTCCATTATCATCAGGGTGCTTAAATTAAATGCATAAAAGTAGTGTGTTTTAATGCAGTCAATCCTGAATTTATATATTCCTGCTTTATAGTATTATTGTTATAGCAATATTGAGTTTCAGATTATTAAGATAATGTGTTGTCACTGATTCATGGTGGATTTGTGGTCAGAAGATAAGTGTTTTTCCTCTTCCCTCTGATTATTTTTTTTCTCTTACCTTGACATTTAGGTATTGCAAGTTGTTGTACTATGGTGAACTGCTCCACTTTTCAGTGTCCCCATTGAGATGTAGGTGGAGATTTTGCAGGTGTATGGCCATAAGAGGTCAGCTGCAGACAAGAACGTGCTTAATTGTTTACACTGCTTTCTCTTATGCCTCTGTCAGTTGTCAAATGCTTGTCAAGTGCGGACAGCACTTGTGCAGGTTGAATAACTTTGTAAGGATATTAATGTAACACTATACCAACCATGTTATGTAGTGAAAACTGTCTGGGCATCCTCCTAGAATTGCAAGAATCCATTTGAAGATTGGGACTCTATTTGTTAAATAGAAGGTGAAGCAAATTGGGTGAAGTATCAGCGGTTCTTCTGCCTACTGTCCTGCCATATTTATCTACAAGTACATACATTTTTTTAATTACACTGCTGGGCTACAGTAGGAAAAAAGATAACTTAGTATATATGTCCTGGAAATAATTTCAGCTGTAGTTCAAGTTTGGACATACTGGTTTTTGAGTATACTTTTTATAAACCTAACTATATGGAATAGATACCATTTTTGGAGTACACACAGTTGTGCTTTTAAGATTTGATAGGGAGACAGATTTTATTTAAGAGTGTCTTTCAAAGAGCAGGTCTGGAAATTCAAAAAATAGCACAGTATTCTCTTTGGCTTTTGTACATTTATCCACCCTGTTGAGCATAATATACATTGGATTTCTCCTAATTAAAATAAAATAGATGTTTGGAAAGAAAGGGAATGGAATATCAGCTACTTTGGAAATAGCCAAAGATTACACAGGAGATACAAAGATTGTAAATTAAGGAAATGGAACAAAGAAAAGGAAATTAAGGAACGAAGGAAGTGAAAAGGGCAAGGAATTCTAAAGAATATAGAACCAATATAAAGGAACTTAAAGGAGAAATAATGGTCTGCTGTAGCCGTATGTGGTCCCAGGCATGTGGATATATGAAAAAACTAAACAGAAAATTTATCATTATCATGTTGATAATTATTGTCATGCTTTAGCGTTGTCTTCTCACCCTATACCCCAAATCCCATGATAATTTTTGTTCTTTAGCATTTAGAATTGTATAATTTTGCCTGCACTTTTCTCTTAGATATGCTTTTAATCATATTTTGCAGAGAAAAATATTGATTTTTGATCCATTAAAATATTAAGAGCACAAGGCCACCTGAAGGAAACACATTTGTTTTGTGTAATGAAACTCATGATTTCTGAATAGTTGAAAGTGGCAGTATTACATTATAACTGCTGAAATTGGATACTCATCACTGCTTATCTCATTAAAATATAAACTACACAGAGGTATTGAGCATTTAGAGAAAGTAATAAGCCTGTTGTGAAGGTGCAGTAGCAAAGTTGATAAAAAAATTCATGTGAAATTATGGCTCATTGAGTTTCTTTGTGGTATGGCTCTCCACCTAGGAAATATAATTAATATTGGCACCCCAATTACTATGGAACAAGTTATGGTAAATATTAGGCAGCTAAATAAATGTAATCTGTAATAAAATAAAATTCATATTTCTAATGTGAATGTTGAGGATGTGTAGATTAACATAAATGTTTGTCTACAGTTTTAAAAACAAGTTAATAGGAGCTATTTTATTTATCTGTAATTCAAAATAGTTTACAGGAAGTAATCTTTGTAGGATAATTCTCCTTAGTCTCCAGAATAAACCAGGCAGTTTTCCATATAGGCATTCTGATGGAGATATGCAGTGACTAAAAGTAAGATTTATAATGGAATATATATAGAATCTTGATTATTTTCTCTGAGGATTATAATCTTTTGACAAAGTTGGCAGAAAATAGAGGATTATTTAATAAAATTCTGCTGTATTTGTGCTTGAAAATAGGGATAAAATGAAAAAAAACCACCCAGCAGATCTGTTCTTTTTCCTTAAAAGAAGAAAAGACAAAAAAGGCAGGGAAGGAGATTCTGTTTCATTAAGTTATTTAGAAGTGTAGACGTAAAAAAGGTCCCCACAAAATGAAGTCTAAAATGTATATAGAGGTGCAACAATATAATTGCTTTTCCTGCTGTTCGCTGCTTTCTTTTTTCACTTGGACATCTACATTTGTGGGTTTAACAAGTTTTTTGTTAAATAACCAAACCTTGGAGGTGGTGCAAACACTTCATGTAGAGAGCAGTGAATTCAAAATTTAAGATTTCTTGTAACCTGATGGGTCTTAGGGCTCAGCTACAGACATGCCTTGAGTTCTGGATGTTAGAATTGTCAAGAGTTTCAGTAGTGTTCAGTAGTGTTGTAAAAACATGAGTCAGTCGTAGAAATTGAGTACAAACTCAGGATTTGACTTCAAACACCCTTGACTGAAATGTGTTTCAAATACAGTGAAAATCCAAGTTTTCACCTGAGTTTAATTCGGTCTTGTGTGACGGAGGGGAAGATGATCCTGCTTCTCAAATGTGAAAGGCAAAATCCCATTTTCTTCAAGTGCCCGGATTGGGTCCAAAAAGTTAAATCACCATAACAATTTGAGATAAATGTATTATTAGATTGTCACAGATCAGCAGACGGGCCAGAAGATTCAGATTGTTACATCACTTGATCAGAGCTCAGCAGGCAAGCAGTTCATCTTAACAAATCATGATGGCTCTACCCCAAGCAAGGTGATCCTTGCCAGACAAGATTCCACTCCAGGAAAAGTTATCCTAGCAACTCCAGATGCTGCAGGTGTCAACCAACTGTTTTTTGCATCCCCTGATATATCTTCACAACACATCCAGGTAGTTAATCCACTTTATTTCATATTTTTCATTCAAATGGGATAAGAAAAGATGTTTTATTTCCAAATAAGTCTGTCTGGGTTCTTCTTTTTGGTTTTTTTGTTTTGTTTTTTTTTTTAAGTATAATTTTCCTTGCACTATGACTCACTGTGGATACTTAAAAATTATGAAAAATCTTTTTTTAGTAAATTTCTTGCTTTTAAAATGTATATGTTGGCTCATGACATTAGGAAGAATTAGGAAGCTATTTTTGTTGTTATTTCCAGATTCTGCCATGCCAACAGTCCTTTATTTCTGCTCATTAACTCTCCATCTGTTTTCATGTATTGTTGAAAAACATTCACTTTTCTCCATTGTCCTTCTTGCTTAACATTTCCCTTTGCTTGTTTTCCTTATTGCGCACTGTTGCAGCTGCTGTTCAGCTGTGTGAATTGTAGTCTATAGCAGTGCTCAGACTATTTAGCGGGGCAATACGTTACTCCATGGGTTGAGAAAACAACACTAATGATTTTGTGTTTACTAATGTGATATTGTAACTAGGAAGGGTTGTAACTCCCTTAGCTGGTCCCCAGTGTACCTTACTCCCATGCACATTATATGTGCCACCTCCTTAGCTGCTACCCTCCAACTTCCAAGCTTTCTGTCCTGCATTATTCTCAGCCTGGGAGGTGAGATGTCACTGATGTGAAAAATGTCAAAAACATGCAAGAAGAGTTGGGAGATCTGACCTCCTTCAGCCTGAAGTAGGAGGTTACTGCGCTCCAGCTAAAGTATACTTACTGCATGTGTTCCACCCACACACATTTATGCTGCTGTTACAATACATCAGCCAGGCAACATTCAGATAGCTGCAGTCCATTTAGTCTCGTATCAAACACTTAAACATTATGACCATAAACAGCTCCTTAAGGAAAAATATTAAAAGGTGGCCAAGTAAATAATGATCTTTTTAAGCATATCCTTTTACTTCCATTAGCTGATGATACAGAGGAATCTCCTGATTTGGAGACTGCAGTTAGACCATCATATTTGATAGCTGCTCTTAAATTTAAACAACCTTTTTTTGTTATCTATATAGATCACGTAAGCTTTATTCTGTATAATATCCTATGGTGTACCAAGAATATGCTAGATTATTTGACCATCTGAGAGAATTGTTTAATTAGGTGTCTCTTGAACTAGAAGATGCTGTTAAAGATTTGTGTGGGGGTTTATAGATCACTACAAAATTTTCTTTTAAGCAATCTTTTTTTCAGCTGCAGACCCTTAAACTGTTCAGTTTGTACTCTTCTGTGAGCTAGTCAACTGATTCACTACCCACACATTGCGTAAACCTGAAAGAATCTGTGCATTATATAATACTACTGGTCTTGAAATTCATAGCTCTTTGCAAATGGTCACCCTAGGTTCTTGCTCCAAAGAATTTGATTACTGTGAATAGGGGACCAATAGCAAAAGCCAATCCTATTGAGAGGCATTGAAGCATAGTGTTATGATATACTTTGTATTTTAGGTAAGTCTCAACAAAAATATAAACCTGTGGGATATGAGTAGTCCACATAAAAATTCTTTTCAAAGACAGCTTAAGAGATGAGAAGTGTGCCACACTGGTTTATAAGGCAAAATTCAGGAAAAGAGGAAATCTGTAAGAAAAATTGAGAGCTGTAGTTCTGATTGTATCATTTGGGCAAAATAGGTCAGTTTGAGAAGCAACAGGGGGTATTCTGTCACTCCAGTTAAATTGTTCTGTTGTACACAGATATGTATGGGTAGAGATTTCCTTTGTCCATTTAAAATTTCATTAAATACAGAGTACCATTCATTTGCTGTTCACCTGCATACCTTTGGGATCTTTTGTATTTTCTCCCTCAAATGATTTTTCCATCTCCAATTTCACCTGTTTTCTTCTTCTTCTGTAGTCTTCACTTGAAATGCCCATTTGTTCTGCCAGAAACCTCTCTGTTATTGCATCTTATCTTTACGTTGACTCATTTGGCAAGATCCTTTCTCCTGTCATCTATTTTAACTATAGTGACTCTTTTTGATATTAATAGTAATTTTTTATTCTTCATGTTCAAGGTCAGTTAATAAGTTCTCTGGGTCTGTGGTTTTTATCTCCTCATGGGCTGATTCTGTAGTCCTTCCTTATTTGAAACCTCCCATTTCAGTGCAGCTTCAATATATAGAAGTACTTAGAATTTATGTTTTCTATAATATCATGAAAATACATAATGTTAATACTGGAAATTTGGAAGGATCAATAGGTTAATATTCCCTTAACTCATCATCTTGTTTTTCTTAAAAAATTGGTGTTTTTTTAAAGAAAACATAAGAGATTAATCTCAGAGACTGTATTGGTAACAAGGCTAACTAGAAAGAAGTATGCTTGTTAAACTTTCCTACATATATCATCTGTACTATGTTCCAAACTCTAAAAAGCACAATTTCTAAATTTTCTCTGTGGAAGAGAGGGAACTTTTCATTATTTCCTTTTTTATCAGAGGTCTTGTTCTGAACATGCAAAACAAGAATGAGGAGTCTGGCTTCCATTTAAGGCACAGCAGAAGTTAAAAACTCTTCAAGCTTCTAAACTATATTCTCTTTTGAATGAGAAGAACATTTTTTTCTTTTCCATGTCAAAATGATGTTTGGTTGTTATTTGTAACTTGTGTGTTCCTTTTTTAAATGAAATTTTTGCTGTGCTTTATTTATGTTGTGGTTGGATAGTTTGCAAAGATTAAGTGAAATGTTCTGGTGCCTGCCCTGTAGAACTGGGATTCTAAAATTATGTTCTTAACAAAGCTTTACCAGAGACAAATGAATGAGACAAGACAAGAATATTTTAATAATGTCAAACTGTTACTGAAAGCCAAGCTGTATACCAGTTAGAAGTTAAAGGTTGTGTCCAGAGTTACATTTACTTCTGGTCCATATTTATGTGTATTATTAAAAAAGAAGTTAATAAACCTCTATGTAGGTCTAGTAGCTTTTGCAAGGAATTTTTTTGTTCCATCTGTTTAATGATTCCATCTCTTTTGCACTATTGATGAGCTATTAGTATATAAATGTAAAATTGAACAAATGATAAGAGTATGCAGATGCTCGAAGTTTTTCAAAATGTCAGTCCATTTTGCAGAAGTAGTATTTAGAGAAATGAAATCTTGAATTCTTCTCAAAAGCATTACAAACAAAACTCTTGTTCCCTCCTGAAAGGGAGCATAGTGGCATGGGAGGTAGTGACTTTGTGTCTCTGAAGACCATTAGATATAATCAAGAAAACATGATGCTTTGTAGATTTAGTTACCTATCTTAGACAAAAAACACAAGCATAAGATATATTTTACTATTTCTAGATGGTAAGAAAAGCAAAAATTAAGTTCTTTCCCATGTTTTTTTCAGATTTTAACGGACAACTCCCCCAGTGAGCAGGGCCTAAATAAAGTGTTTGACCTGTGTGTTGTGTGTGGAGACAAAGCATCAGGTATTTGGTTTTTTTCTTTCTTTTATTTAAGTGGTGCAATTTTATAAAAGCAATTTAAAAGTCTTCCAAAGCTGTGTAACAGTTTGCATTCATATAAATGTATAAATTTCTATACATGCAGTGGAGAATTTCACTAAATGGTACTTTAGTATCCATGGATAGAATTTATTGTTGTTTTATACAGAATCGTAGAATATCCTGAATTGGAAGGGACCCTCAAGGGTCACTGAAGTCCAACTCTTGGCCCTGCACAGGACACCCCAAGAGTCACACCCTGTGCTTGAGAGCCTTGTCCAAACACTTCTTGAGCTCTGTCAGGCTGGTGCTGTGACCACTGCCCTGGGGAGTCTGTGCAGTGCCCAGCCACCCTCTGGGTGAATATAACATACAAACATATAGTCTAAAATCTCTCTGACCAGCTTCATGCCATTCCTTTGAGTCCTGGCACCTGAAGGAGTAGGTCAGTGCCTGCTCGTCCATTTACTCTAGTGAGGAACCTGCAGACCACTATGAGGTCTCCCTTCAGCAGGGAGCAGACTTGCTAGAAGGTAGAAGCTACATCAAAGAGTAGGTGAAGAAGCGGCCCTGGTACTCTGCATAATGAATATTCATAACCCAGCTGCCACTAAAATATTTCAGACAATATTCTTTTAATGCATATGATGCTTTTGAAATTTCATATTTTAGTAGTGCTAAAAAGGCTGTGACAAAGGAATCTAGAAAACATGTCAGAATTTCTAGAAACTTCAGCAAAGAACCTTAAAGTGTTTTTTCCTAAATCAGGTCATATTTGTGACTTGTTTTGTAATGTGCCATAGGTATTTCAAGGATTCATACTAAAATTGTTGGAACTGCCAAGCATGCCTTCCTCAATCCTTTTTATTTATGTTTATAATTTTATGCACAATCAAAATATTTTACTTCTAAAACTAATTGTCAACTTACTTTTTGTAGTCTATCTTAGAAATTTTTATATTATACAGAAAACTTGCTGAACTGGTCTTCAAAAAAAAAGTTGTACTTATTCTAGATTATTCTTCCATTGATGTTTTACTGCAAGAACTATGGACATACTATTACGCTGTTAAGAAAACAAAAGGTGAAAATAAAGCATTGAAGTTACTGCCTCATGCTGTCAAATGCCATGTTTGCACTTTCCATGGTTGCGTTAGATTTAATGCATACAATTTCAACAGCTGAAATTGTTATGAGAAATCATGGGAAAATTACTAGAGAAATCTATAAATTAAAATTTTTCTTGCTATATTCTTACTGACCTGTTTTCTTAGCCTTTTCTTAACACTGCTGTCAACAGATAAGGAAATAATTTAATAAGCAACTTGCCTGTTTGTAAAATCCTGTTTAAGTGCTTTGAACTAGAAAAAAGGTTCACTTGCTTTTTTATGTTCTTTTATAACCCAAATATATTTTAAGATCTGCAACTGGAAAAACAAGTGTTTCTTTTTGGGTAAAATAGCTAATACTTTATCTTTAATAAACGTAAAGTCTAAAAAGTTAATATGATACTGTAAAATTAATGCAGTGTTTTTTGTTACTTTGTAACTAGGGCGTCATTATGGAGCAGTAACCTGTGAGGGATGCAAAGGATTCTTTAAAAGGAGCATACGGAAGAATTTAGTTTATTCCTGTCGAGGAACGAAAGACTGCGTCATTAACAAACACCACCGGAATCGCTGCCAGTATTGTAGGCTGCAGAGATGCATCGCCTTTGGGATGAAGCAAGATTGTAAGTCTGAGTAAGAGCAAACTACTTCACCTGGCAGCTGCTTTGTGCTACAAAAGATATGCTTTGTATAGATACAAATCATTATCTTGCTTACATATTTTTAGATCGTTGTCTCTTTTTCCTTTAAAGATAGTTTGGTGTATCAGAAATATTAAATGTTTTCAGGTGTTTGCTTTAAAAGCTTAATAAGCTCCATCTCATGTCATGAAAGTGAATGAATTGTTACTCCTACATGGCAAATATCAAACACGTCTGCATTTTTTTGTGCAGTTCAACTTTTTTATGTGTAGATTAAGTTACTGAACTTTTTGAACTCCTACCTTCCTTTCAGTTTTTCCACAGCTGAGATTACTGGCAATTGCTGTTCACTTTTGGCAAAGCTCTGCGGAGACAGTTTTTCACAAGGCTGAGATCCATAGTGATCTAAAGTTCAGTTCTTACCCATTCCTTCAGATTCCAAGTTCCTTTTTAGCTTTCCATACATTAGATATAGTGGTAGAGATATATCACAGCAATATCTGAATACTAAAGACACAGAAAATCACACAAAATATAAATTCTTCAGACCTAATACTGCGACGCTGTTGTAGTACATACAGTGTTGGTCTTGTTCTCTGCTCTCTATCATCCTTATTTTACTGACCCTCTTGAACTTCTGTGGATATTTTCCTCCTTACAGCCCTGCTTCTGTCAGCAGAAATCAGTTAGACAGAGGAAATTAATTCAGAAAGGGGGAAAATGCTGGGGCAGTGAAAGTGGATCTTTAGCCTCTAGTTCAGTTGGCAGTAAGTAAGAAAAGGCCCCTCCACAGAAGACTTTTTAAGCAAATAAAATCACTGGGCTTAGGGATCAGAAGGCAGGAAAATAATCTCTGGGTCACAGGGGAGTACTGAGTGGGGGAGAAGATTGTTTGTTGACAAGAAGTCTCATTCCTCAGTGGGGTGGGGAAAGGGAAGAAAACTTATCACAGTCTTGGACTGTAGCTCCCTCAGTGGAGGTTATTTGTCCCTTGAAGAAGCCTTCGCAAAGTGAGACTGCTAGTGAGCACAGCATTGACAAAGGAAGATGAAATACTTGCCTCCATCTCCCACCCTTTAAAGCACTATTTGTGGGTTGCAGGCTGACTTCAATAGCATTGTCAATACTTAAAATCACAACATTTGGGGTTTAAGATACTTACCAGTGTAAAAATCTGAATAGCATCACAGTCTACTGCTATCTTGAAAAGTTTTTAATTTTTTATCTGAAGTTACACATTTTTCACATTTCCACATCTTCCCCATAGAGGGTAATGCTGTAAGTTTCATTTTAATATGCAAACCAAGGTGATACATCTGTAGGCTAAAGCCCCAGTTCATTCCATCCTGTTTCACTGAGTCATTCAAATTAAAAATCCACTTCTTCTCTGAAGTCGGTGACTGTGGGTCAGGGTGTTGCCCTGATTGGTCTTAAATGGTCTGAACTCAATTTTGTGAATGTAGCTTTCCCTCTGTATTGTCAGAAGTCCTAATTTGAGACACTTCTTTAAGTGAATGAAGTTACATGGGTTCAACAGATCCACAGTCCATGGAAAAATGTACCATGAGTCCTTTACAACGGAAGTGAGAATGTGAGACAGTGAAACTGAGAGAATGAGGAACTTTAAGCTTCCACTTTGATTCAAATTAAAAATGAGGGGATGTCTCCGTTAATTTTAACTTTAAAATGTTGTATGTGTTCCATCTCAGACTTTGACTACTACATCATTTCACTTAGAACTCATCAAGTCGGTGTGCTGGTTTTATCCAACTTGTTAGCTTGTTGGTTATTGGATGTCTTTTATATATATAATAGTTTCAAAATTATTATTAAATCAAATATTAAAGAAAGAAAAAAGTATTATTTCTTATCCTATAATTTGGCGTTATTTAATAGTTGGGTATTATTTCTGTAGCTGTACAGTGTGAGAGGAAACCTATTGAAGTATCAAGAGAAAAATCTTCGAACTGTGCAGCTTCTACAGAAAAGATCTACATTCGGAAAGATCTTCGTAGTCCATTGGCTGCAACCCCAACTTTTGTAACAGACAATGAAACAGCAAGGTATGTCAATTGTATTCAGAAGTGGCTATCTCTGTCTTCTGAAAAAGGAAAATTCAGTTGTAAAATTAATCAAAATTAAAACTTGTGCTGTTTTCTGTCAGATCAACAGGTTTGTTGGAATCAGGAATGTTTGTTAACATTCATCCATCTGCAATAAAAAGTGAGCCTACTGTGCTGATGACTCCAGATAAGGTAATGTGATGATATGACTGATATGGTAAGTAGAGCTAATTGCCGTAATTTTATATGTAAGAAGAGAAGGGTGTTCTATTTGGCTAAATTAATTTTTAAAACACTCCTTTACCACATTCACCAGTGTTTCAAATGCCTTCTCTTTACAAGAATCCTCTTAGCCTCACACAGTAAAAATGCTGAAAACATGACAAAGTAAATCCCCTTCCTTCACGTTTTTAGAGAGCCTTAAGGGCATTATTATTTTAATTTTTGTTTTGGGATAATCCTTACACTTGGCTTGCTCTTTTGTACAAATCAAGTGAGGTTTTCACAAGACTTCTCATGGCATTATCACAGTGCCACATGTAAATACTGGATTCAGGATTTTTTTTTCCTGAATCACTATATTTTTGGCAAAGCTGGTAAGACCTATCTCATCGACAATTATATTGATGAGCTGGTTTTCCTTTGTTTCCATTTTGTTGCACTTACTGATCCACTAAAGCCATGTGGTAGCTTCTTCACATATGCACAATAGGAAGCATTTTTGTTTCTCTAGCTGATATCAAATTACCTCGTGTGGGAGAATGGATTGTAAGAGAATAGAGATAGTGCTGCAGACAATCTTGCCCCTGCTAAGTTGCAGCTGTGTAAGACAGGTGACCAGTGTTGAAGGAGAAGAGTCTTGGAATGCTGATGTGTATTGACCAATCACAGAAGAGTAAGAGGGCGGGCAGGTGTTACACATCCGAGAGAAATGGTATGAAGAGTTAGGAAGAGAAAGTTGGAGTTAGGAGGAGAGAGGTGGTGGTAACAGGTTCTGCTGTGAAAGGAAGGGGTCTGTATTGCTTGGGGCTGCTTGTGGGGCTGTAACAGAGAGAAGGTTTGAAGGCTTTAATAAACTACTGAGGCTTGCTGCCGTCTTCGGCGCCAGTCTTTTGAGTCCTCCGTCAATTGGGGAGTTTTTAGATAACAGAGGACTGATGCTGGTGTCAGTTGTAGCCATGTGACGACCGTCAGATTGTTGCCCTGTTTCAGGGGTGAGTGACAACAAATGTAATTGTTGCCCTGTGTGAGGAGTGACCAACAACACCCTCATACGGTTTTCATGCATTTTGCTTTGCTTGCTCTGATTGGTGCTACGAGCAGCTGCATACTTGTCTGTAATAGCATACCTCCTTTTTTTTTTTTTTTTCCTCCTGGAACAGAGTGGGCCACATCTTACTCTCTCTCTAAGTTCCTAGCCAGTACTGAATCACTTTTTTCCTTTGCAGTTAAACAAAGACATAAACACCAAAAAGGCTACAGCATAATTATGTTTCTGCTTGTTTATAAAGGTGACTTTTCATGCATTCCTTCTTCACAGACGTTCTCCTACCCTCTTACTACTGACTCACTGACACGGTGAAGGAAGATGCTAAAAATATAATCTAGAGCAGTTTTATATTCCTGGTGATGGACTAGTGCATAGAGATGTGAAATGTTCTTTCTGCACTTGCTTACCATCAGTAGTATTCTTTCTACTGATAGAAATAGATAACTATTCTACAAGTAAATGTCAAAATATTCCATATTTTAGATGCAGTGCAGTGTCTGATTGCTGTATTGTGGTTACCCAGATACTGAAAACAGTTTTCTTACAGGTATATTTTTGTATATGCTCTATTCTTCATTTATGTGAAAGCTAGGCTTTTCTCGTGCAGGTTAACTGCTGCCAATTAACTGAGAATTAAAAGCTGGGGTTTTTTCCCTTAGGTAGAAGCATGTCAAGGAGATTTAAGTACACTGGCAAATGTGGTGACTTCATTAGCAAATCTCAGTAAATGCAAAGACACGTCACAAAGCAGTACAGAACTATCCATGATCGAAAATTTGAGCAATGGAGATGCATCATTACCTGAACTCAAGCAAGAAGAACAAGCTAGTAGTGATGTTACAAGGTAAGGCATGTTACACTTAAAAATACTATCCTTTTCAAGAGAAGGTCTCTGTCAATTCAGACCAGCAATTCATTAAATCATCACAATGTAGAAAATTTATCTGCTTTAAAAGTAATAGCAACATTAGCGTAAGCTCGTGTAGAAGGCAAATATTGTAAGATTCTTCCAAGTGAAATCAGAAGAAAGTTCCATTAGAGAAATAAATCATTTTAGTTGTTTGTACTTGAAATTAATTTCAGTATAAATATTACAGCTGATTTTCTTACCTCTTGATTGGCCACACTATGGTATGTTAGGTCTTGGACTATAGTCTTAGTACTTTGCATCATCCTGGAAAACTTGCTCTTAAGAGATCTCATCTGTGTGATAGTTATGTAACTATTAATCACCTTAGAAGCTTGAAAAGCATTTTCCTTCTACATAAGAGAAATTACGGAATTCTCACTACCAATATTAATGAATTCACTGAGTATCTTACAAATTTGTATTTTGCAATGATTTTAATGAGCCGCTGTTGGTGAGCATATGTGTAAGATGTATATACAGAACATTCACAGTTATTCCATCAATCACAGTTGTGCTCTTCCGTGGTTGTCATATCATGCAAGCTTCTGCCTGCTGTCCCAGCAACTTTCTTTTACACACCACCTACATTTTACATTCTGTTCTGAAAGTGTTTGTGGAGTAAATCCACTGAGGGGGGAAAGGTGGGCGTATAGTAGCTGAAATATCTGATTTCCCCTGTGGTCTCTACTGCTTTGTGTAATTGCAAGCAGATTACATTTTTTCTGCTCCTTTCTTTTTACTGCATAGAAAGTCAGTCTGACTTTTTATAGATGCTGATTTGGGCCTTTGCTATGTCCCCCCTAGGTAAAGAATGTTAGAATATGCTGTGTAAGTAGTATTGTTACATGTGCTGACAGACACAGATATCTAGTTCTCTCAGCCAGAGTGTTTGAAGTAGCTGACTTGACATACTCGTGAAGTAGGTTACCTAATAGCTGTACAGTGGGGAGGTTCAAGTTAAATATTGCTGTGAAAGGGAAGTTGTTACTCCAAGAGAACCTAAAAATTTTCTCTAAATTACTGAGTTCCCTGTCAGGCCCTATGCCAGCATGATCTAACAGACACAGAGCTTTATTGAGGAAGAAGAGTTTAAGGTACTTCAGAGAGTACATTTCAGCCATCCATGCTTTTCATGTATTTTATTATATACATTGCTAGCAGTACCTGCTGGCATAGAGTATAGCTTTTGCTGCAAGCACCCCATTGCTTTTATATTGTAATTTTACATGCCTTGTCCTCTAATGCTTCATTATATTCTTTCTTTACAGTTTATTTGCAGTCTTATATATATGTTGATGACTGAGCCTGACAAAAAGAAAAGCAAAATTATCTGTAGCAAAGGATATCAATGCCCTGTATTTTAATGTTGATTATGCCTTGTTTTCTCACTTTGTGGGCTAGATTTTCAGAGCTCCCAGGCAAGCTTTGTTCTAGATTCTCTTTTACTTTACAGACGTTTTACTTTACAGACATTGCTCATGTTGGGGCTTTGTATAGGAAAGGACTCGTATTACTGAGCCATGAGGAAGCAAAGCTGCTGCTGACTTCTGCTGGCTTACTACTGGTAGTTTATGAGATAGAAGGGAGAAGATTTCTTTCAAAGCAACATTGAAGAGTGACTTGGGGGAAAGTGTCATGGGCAGACATGGTTAAACAAGTGTATATGCCCACACTATTTTTCTAGCACTTTTCAGCCTGTACTATAATAAATACAGGATAGTGACAGATGCATATGACCTTTACCTTTTGGGGAAAGAGGAAGCCTTGTTATTTTCTTAAATTTCTGTCCCTGCCACATGAAAAACGCTGCAGAGATCCTGTTGTTTCTTGAAAAGCAGCTGTAACTGAGCTGCTGTGTTTGCCTGTTCTACCTAAGAGTGAATTGTGGAAGACCTGAAACAGATCTTCTAGCAGGAGTCTATAGTATAGTTTCTTGAGCTGAGCCATTAATGCCTTCCCTTTGTGCCAGCTTTGCATATACCAGAGACAGAAGATGGTCCAGGTATGTCTGTATAGTTCACTCATGTATGCCCCAGTCACCTTCGTGTGTATTCATGAAGGTACACAGGCTAGTGAGGACCAAAAAGTAGTTCATTTACCATCCCAAGCCTTGAGGCAGTGTCAACAGCTCTTTCTCTATGATATTTCATTTGACTGACTGTAGTTATGTCAAACAGCTCGTTGGTGTATTTGTTTTTTGGGTTTTTAAAAAATTTTTAGACATGCTAGTGAATTCATGTAGCTACAGAGTGTGGAGATAGACAAGGTGGCCAAGTTCTGTCCCAGATTTTGGCGTTAAATCAGTGATTTTTAGACTCTGTGGTAATAAACATGTCTATAAATTGAGAATGAGCTCTACATACAAGCTGATAATCAGCTTTTGTAAAGTCTTCAGGTCTCAGAGTGTTAAGTTTTCCATACAACACTGTATAGAAATGTTGCTGTTCCTGGATATGTCATCTGTCTGTTGGCAGTGATCAAGTCTGTGTATATTTGATTGAAGGTGTGTCAGTTGTAGTTCTTAGGTGCATTTATGAACAGAAAAACAACATGTGTTATCAAGCAGCCAGATATTGAGTAATACATCTGTGCTTGTCCTGACATCTGCCTTCTAGCATTTGTGCTTGTGAAAGCCAAGAGCCACTGCCACACAGCAGAGGGTACTAAGGGCTGTATTGAAAGCATGGGAGTGCTTTCTCTTACGTACAAGCAGTCTTTTCAAATTAAGTTGAAAAATCTATCTTCTTGTAGTTACAACTCATTACTTAACAAAAAAATAATCTTACTCTGTGCTTCATAGCAGTAAAAGCCTGTAAAATTTATATATGCATTAAGTGACTGTAACAGCAGTCTGGTGATCATGTCCTCAAAGCACTCATGCCAGCCCTCTCAGTGAACATCACTAAAGAGATCTTGAAAAGCAAACTGTGATTCAGCAGCACAACCAATATGTCAAAACTGTGAATTTGTTGGCAACTAATATAAACAGGATCTGCTGCTAATTTTTGTTCCAGAGTTTGAGGGAATGTCAGGAAAAGCATGCTACTGACTTTTATTTTCTAAATCTCACTCTTTGAAACAGACTTCTACATACAGGTTTCAGACATGTGCAGGTTCCTCTTAAATTGAAACAGTCTCTAAAATGAAATTTTCTTTTTGTTTGTTTGTGATCTTACAGGGCATTTGATACTCTTGCAAAAGCATTAAATCCAGGAGAGAGCCCAGCATGCCAGAACTCTGAAAGTATTGACACCAGTACACAGCTCCTTGGTGGAGAAACAAGCATGAACATTGTTGAAATAGAGGGGCCACTACTCAGTGATGCTCATGTAGCATTCAGGGTACTGAATTCTTTCTTACTGTTGACTGTTAATAACTATTTTGACGTAGTGATCTACAATAATGATCTGACTAAGCTTTATTTTGAATTTCTTAGAGGAGTATTTGTTCAAGTATTGGCATTAATTTCCAGTTAATTAACTGCTTCTGTTCACTGTTTAATTCTCTGTCTGCGAGAAAGTCCCTGCACTCTGCAGTGGTTTAGCTGCACTGGTTATGTTATAGTTTCTTATCTTAAAAATACTGGGTAAGCCATACAAAAGGATTTACATAGACAAGGTATTTACACGAAGCAGAGTCAGAATTTCATCACATGAAGCAGAGTCAGCATCCATATTCTCACTTCTTAATGGGTGGGTCTGATCCAATCTGCTACTGGACTTTGAAACCTTTAAGTGTATTTGTCAGCTGCTTGTTTGTGTAGATGCCCTATTTTAGTTTGCTAGTAATTGACTTAAATACAGTTGCTGTGTTAGTTAACCATATATTTTCTGGATTTATTTCTCATTTTACAAACTTGTAGGAATTCCTTCTATCTTTTTTTTTTTTTTAAATCACCTTATTTTCATGGACAAATCAAACAGTTTGGTCATCCGAAAACTTAGTAACAGGCATTTGGTTCAACTTTACCCCTCTTACCAGCATCTGTTTTGACATTCAAATGAACATCTCTAATGCAAATGTCAGCTTTTTTTATTGCATTAGCCAGAACATTATATTAAAAAATATTAATTTCTGAAGACAGAATTACATGTTCTAAGTTATTTTGGGTGGAATCTCTTCCTTCACATAGGCAGGTAACATCACTAATTTTACTTACTAACATTGGGAACATCCTTTCTGATATATGTCGGTTATATTTTTTGGACTTGGTAGCATCTGTGTATTAGGTATTCTACTCAAACATCAAAAGATTTCTCTTGTATTTCTTTGTAAAATATTAATTAAAAGTAAAAAATGTGTTTTGTGAAATAGAATTCTGTCACACACACACTCTCTCTCTCTAGCTCCAGAAGTTGTAGCTCCTCTAAGCAAGTTCATTCCAGTTACAATGATTCTCTCTCGTATTCTTTGAGAATGTCTCAGAAGACAGTTTTGGGAGTTTTTTGAGTTTTGAGATTTTACATATTCAGTTGTCCCAGACATGAATCTCTATGAACGAATCAAAATTTTTGTCTTTTTTGTTGCTGTGTAGTTATTTGACATACAGCATGTAGTGGTGTGGCTAATAGTGCAAAAGGGAGTCATTCAGTTTTGTGTTGGCAATATACCTTTTTATTTAAAGAACAGTTTTATTTTTTCACTTTAAAGAAACTCCAAGGACTGATTTCTTCCTAAATGTATTATGAAGAAAGTAAAATAACTGTCTACACTTCCTTCTTTTTTCTTCCTACTTTTGTTTTGCAGCTCACCATGCCTTCTCCTATGCCTGATTATCTTAATGTTCACTATATCTGTGAGTCTGCCTCCAGGCTGCTTTTCTTGTCCATGCACTGGGCACGTTCCATTCCATCTTTCCAAGCTTTGGGGTAAGTGTTCAGTTTATTCACTTACGTTGTGGCTATGTGCTTTTGAATTTTTGGTTTTTACTGTTTTCTTCAGGGACTTGTAAAAATATAAAACTGCTAATTAAAACTGTTATAAATCTTAATTGTAAGGTAAATTTTCTGAATTAAAATTACTCCCAGTTTGAGTCCAGATTCAGGACTTTACTTGGGTTTTGTAAGAAAAATGAGTAATTTAAAACAATCTAATGCCTGCATACTGCTGCTGCTTAAAATATTCTATTATTTTTTTAATAGCTACAGCTCTATGCTATATCCTGATGCTTATCAGGCAATCACCAAAAAGAAGCTTCTGTCTGAATCGCCAGAATTTTTATCCTTATAAGGTGAATTACAAGTAATAATCTTGTCTTTAATAACCTACATGAAGAAAAAGGTTTGCTAGATTTAGCAGATATTCAGAATGAAGTTGTCTAATTTCAGAAGATTTGCCAAAAAATAATTGGCTCCTGTAACCAAAAGGTAGTTCTAACTGTTCTTTTTATAGTTTGTATAACATCCTGCTTCTCCCATCAGAATTCAGTGTATCACGAGATTCAATTTTGTAGTCCACTGCTGATCATAATGAAAAAAAATGTCCAAACTGCACGGGAAAAACTGATTTATCCTATATTAAGAAGTAATTTTATGAAGATACATCAAACAAATAAAGATACTGTATCAGCTCTGACACAAATGGTGAATAAATCATGATAATTTGTTCTCATCTCAGTGTTTCTGTTTAATTCAATACCAAAATAGCCTGTGTCTGTGCCAGCAAAGATAATTCTTTTTTAAAATGAGAGATTCTCCTCTTTTCCAGGAAAGCTGTCAAAAGCAGGATGATCTATGATTACTGTTTGTGTTTACTCAGATGCTTCAGCCAAATTATTCTACACTTTTTAAGGAAAGATATTGTATTGTGTGTAATTAAGCCTGTCTGTTGGAGAAGGAGAAAGGAATATTGTACAAAGTTATAGAATAATAGGGGTAAAAAAATAGGTAAATATGATGTTTTATTCTGGTAGAAATTGTTGACCTGCAGAATTACAAAATGCGTAGCAAATGAAGATATTATATTATGTCATTCTAAGTTTAAAAAAGGATTTTGTTACAGAGAGACAACTGCAAATTAGTACAAATTGGTATTCTAACAAAAAATGGGAATTGCTTCTTAAAAACAAAATGTAGTACAGAAGACCTCTCTCTCTCCAAAAAGATTTAGCAAGAAAAATCTGCACGTGCTCGTTTTTTTTTTTTTATGTTACTTCACAATATATTTTTCTGCTTAAAAAATGTGGAGGAGTAAGCTGCCATAATAGCGCTAATATTCACCTGTAATAGCATTTATTGACCCAGTCAAGATCATGGGCAATGGTATGTAAATAACATAAATTGAATTTTTCTTTGAAGCACCTAAAATGCAAACTATTTTCAAGTGAAGATTTATTTGAAATTAATGCAGCCTTTATAGTTGGAGTACATTATATCCTATAATTTTAACTTTCAGAAGGGTGACTCATTTCACTTTCAAACTGAAAAGAAATTCATCGAGCATGATGAGTAATGGTTTTGTAAGGAAGATGGAGAATTGTACCTATGTTGTTTCCTCCTCAGGCCATATTCTCCTTTAGTCACAGCAGAATAGCTGCCTTTTACCTAATGTTGTAGTTAATGATGCCAGATACTAATTAGTTCATCTTCCTGCATGGGCATCTTTGTTCACAAGAGAGTTTCCTACTGAAACCTTTGCCAAACTGGTTACAGCCTCTTCGTTTTGTGAGGCTGCTTAAGCAAACTTAAGGGCTGGTTCTAGTGTAACTTTGATCAGCCATAAAGATGCTGTAGATGATATGCTTATCTACATACATGCATGAGAGGAGTAGCCAGTACACCCTGTTTTCAATGGTGCTCAGCACAGTCCCTTTGGTTATGTAAAGGAGGTGAGCAAAGATGTGACAAATACGTGGAGAAGCTGCATGTACACTATCATGTCTACCATAACAAGAACTTGGTCATAATGAAAAATACTGCTTTTTGTTATCTGTAAGCTCTTTGTAATCTGGTTAAGGACAAGTCTGTGTTCGCCAGTCATTTGGCATCTTAGTATTGCACTAAATCATCAGAACTGTGCTTGAAGATTATATCTGCATTCTTCAAAAACCCACTCCACTGTATTTTTGTAGTTGAAATCCTAGCTTTAATATGCTTTTCTTCTTTGATAAATCTTGTACTTCTTTTAAATTTCCATTATTTATATTCACTGGCTAAAGCTGTGAAACATCGTACCTGAATTAGACTCCTCTTTGGTGGGATTTGCTTTCTGGGGTACTGAGCTCTTGTTAAGCTCTGTGAGTTAGAAACTTGGCATAACTGAAAGTTAAGTTACTAATGCAAAAGTGGCTGAATATGAATTGATATATTTTATTTTAAGCTACAGCAAATAAATCCTAATCACTGGTATTTATACTTTGAAGTCTGTATTTCAAACCTTATTCTAAACTTGAAAGGGATGCAGAAAGTAGCAGTTAGGAAGCTCAGAAGCTTGATCACACATGTTCCATTTCACCTGTATCTTTAATTAAAAAATTATACCAACCTGTCAGTTTTCAAGTGAAAAAAAAAAAAGACCCCCAAGTCTGTTCTATGTCCACAATACAGGAACAGTGCAATCTTTTTCTGTCCATGCATATAAATATTATCCCAAATCCTTGTGTACACGATGGAGTACACTGGGATAGTTGTCATTTACTGTAACTTCATCTTGCTTTTGTAATAGAAATCTATTTCCTTTTAGGTCATTTAAACAAAAATGTATTGCTTTAAAAAAGTCACTTTAAAATAGGTGTTTTAATTCTAGCATGCAAAGAAAAATGTTACAGAACTTCATTTTGGTGCTGGTTGTAATGATTGAATTAGATCAATGTTTTATGAAGTATTTCTCAAATATTAAAAAAAATGTGTGAATGCAAATGGCTGGTTTTATTAAATTATTTTGCTTTTTAATAGACAGGATAACAGCATATCATTAGTAAAAGCCTGCTGGAATGAACTTTTTACGCTTGGTCTAGCACAGTGCTCACAAATTATGAATGTGGCAACGATCTTAGCTGCTTTTGTTAATCACCTTCAAGGCAGTTTACAACAAGGTAAGGTGTATACTGTGCACATGCCAAACTTGGGGAATTACTTGATATTTTTAAAGTTTTGAAGTGCATGGAAACTCTTTATTTATCCTTCAGTTGTTATTGTAAATTTACTGTTTAAAGAATTTCATGTTAATATTGAAACAAAATACTAGCAACTGTGGTCCCCAAGATAGAATTTTTTAGCAATTTTGCAAAAGTCAGTTATGATAATATTTAACTCCAAATTAAAAAAAAAAAATTGTGTGTTGTATTGTCTAATAGAGTTCTGCTTTATGTTAATATAATCAACCCAGATTAGGAATATGTTGGGCAACATCAATGTTAAGAACAAAAGAGTACTGTGAATGTGATTCCTCTGTATGAAGGAATGTAAAGAATGATCCACCTGTCCTTGCTCTTCATAGCTGTGACACAAAGCAGCTGAATGCTTTGGTGATACAGTTCCTTTACATAACTTGGCTTGTTGACTTCCATGTATTAGTTTTAGTCTACATGGAAGTCTTCAACAGATCTCCACTAAGTACTTCACTCCTTGCTAACCCTATGTCCTGCATTTTAGGCATATTTTTCATTCAAATGAAAGACATATCAGTTGGCATCTTTTAATTCTGTTGTGAGCTGGAGGGGAGTCTTTGCTAAGCTTTGTGTACTTGTGGATACTCACAAGGTTATCACCACTAAAAGCTATCCAGTCAATAATAGTATAATCTTCATCTGTTCATAGATGTAACACATTATTCATAAGGTAGATGCACGTAGAAAAATCTAACCATTTTCAGATGTAACTAAATTTTTGAATTTGCTGTTAGGGGTATGAAAATTCACTGTTGTTGATGCTATGCAAATGCTGATTGGTAAACTGGAAAAAAAACAGCCTACCAAACTATAGATTTTTCATCTTCTTTTATGATAAGGTAATTAAAGAATTACTTCCAAGGGGTTTTTGTGATTTAAAAACATCTACAACATCCTTCTATAAGTAACAGTAGCTTAAAACAAACTGATCAAATCGCAAGATGTACTGGATAAGCTAAAGATGCTAACAAATCTGTGATTATCTCTAGCAGATAAAAATGGAATTTGGAGATTTTGGTCCGTGTAATATTTAAAGTATGTTTACCAGAAAGGCTATTGTTGTAATTAGTCATGTTTTTATCATTATTACAAATACATATTTCTACCATTTAAATTGGGAATTCAGGTTGACTGCAAGAACCGGTTGTGCAGTCTGCCAGCTGCAGTATCTCCAAGAGATACTAAGTTTGTGGAGTCTAGAGACTGGATTATGGAGGGAACAAAGTTTTCAGGCTGCTTTGCTATTGCTAGCTCAAGGGGAACAGCTCTGCACCAACCACATTCCCCTGAGTGTAAATCGGGAAAGGTGTATAGTACACCTTTCCCAGCAGTGGTATGGTCTCTTACTAAAATAATCCACAAAGCTGTACACTGTCCTTCCGTGTGGCACTTGATCCTTAGATACAGAGCACAGGTCAGCAGTAGCAGTATGTGCTTTACTTATAAGTAGTCCCTTCCTCGAGCATTTCAAGCTCTAGTCCATGCCTGATAACTGGAAGCATTAGCAGGAAGAGCCAAATCTGAAAAGGTGGGAAAAATGAGTGTTAATACTCTGTAATTGCTGGTTTCAAGATTATTCAGGCCTATTAGGAATTTATGGATGGCATAGATTTCCCATTGTTTGAGTATAATAAAATAATTATTTTTAAAATTCCAGTGTGACCACATTTTTGCATGTGTATTAACTTGGTAATTTTTTTATGTGTGTCTTGATTTAGATAAGCTGCCAACAGACAGAGGAAGACTAGTAATGGAGCATGTCTTCAAATTGCAAGAGTTTTGTAACAGCATGGTTAAACTGTGTCTAGATGGATATGAATATGCATATTTGAAAGCAATCGTCCTCTTCAGTCCTGGTATGTAATTATTCCAAGTGTAACATTTTAATTTGTGCTATTTGTTGCTGCATACCTGTTTCGTTATATACCTCGTTTGCTGAAGAATCTTGGAAGGTTTGTAAGGACTGGAGGAAGAGGAGAGTTAATCTTCTAATGTAAACAACTGAATGTTGCTTTGGGGACTTTTTTTACAGGGGGAGACTTTGATTCTTTTTATTTGTAGATTTTTATTTTTGGTTGTGCCACTCATGATTTTTGTTAGTTTGCGTTTGGGATTTGGGTTTTTTTTTCTTTTCTTTTCATTTATTTATTTTTTGCTTTTAATTTTGTGCCTTCTTTGTGGGGTGCATTTTCTGAAGGCCTGCAGTTTAATTTTCTGAAGTGTTGCTCTTGCACATCCAGATGAGATGGACTGAAGTTGGGATTTTAATACATGAAAGACTATCTGGGCATCTGTTCTCACATTCAGAATTACAGAAACATCACCTCTCCCCCACACAGACAATGCATATAGCATTTCCAATAAATGAACACCACAAACGTTCACTTATGTTATTATTTCTGTCTTCTAAACGTTATTTGCTTAATATACTCTCAGTAGCATTACTAGACATACATTAGACAGTGAAGGTAATACAACTTTATTTCCCTTCTGGGTGATTAGTTCACAATAAGGAGGAAAGAGTCCTCTGGTTATGGTAGAAGCTTACTGAGTAATTACATTGTGGAACCCATGTATCTTTCCATGCCTGGATGTGGGAAGTTACAAAATTAATTTTCTTTATTTGAAAGTTGTAGAATTAACTTTTCACAAAAAGCATTCACGTATTGTATCAGTATCCTGCAGGCCTTAGATACATCATTCAGAATTGGGATTTAATACAAAGCCAAACCAAGTCTTTTGGTGAAAGAAAAATGTGTAAATCTCAAGTACTTCCTCTGTCTCCAAGAATTTTTCATGGTATTCATCCAAGTGCACAAACAAAACCTTGCATATCTTCCATTGCTACCTATATATGTAATTATATATATATATATATATATCAGTAATGGAATACTTCTGAGATGAAAGACATTAATGCAAATAAAATGTGGTATAAGTAGAGTCAGAACCCTTCAGGAAAGATGATAAATTTCCAGAGGAATTCCTATTGTGATAATTTTTCTATTGTGGATCACTAAGGAAAATCAGATCCTGGGTGTTTTACTATAAAATATAATCCTGCTGTCAGTCCTTATGACCAGGAGAGTCTTGCATGGTGTTATGTGTTTGCTTGTACAATTTACTGTATCACTGAAACAGTTGCAGTTTCCTGATAACCAGGACTTACCATTAAACCCACTAAATTTAAACACAATATTAAGCATGCTTGGAAATCTTTCCAGTTTTCCTTTTCTGTGAGGATTGAACAGTTGCAAATACACCATTATTACAGAAGAGACTTTCTCTAAGTGTTCTTACCCCAAAATAATCCTTTTCATGTCCTTCCTATACAAAGAACTGGCACAGGTTACTTCAAGAAAGAAACAAAATTATGGGAAAATACCTCAAGTCCATTTTTTTTAGAATGATGTCTCCTTGGATTTATGATAGAATCCTTTGGCCTGTGTGGAAAAATCAATCCTGTTAGACACCAAAAAATACTTCTTGAGGAACCTTGCACTTGCAAAGTAGTATTTACCTTTTTGTCTTTTTGTTTAGTCTGAAGTTTGTCTCCTTCCAATTATATTTGACAACACAGAAGGTAGAAGGAAAAATACCTTGGGAAAAGACTCCAGTCCAGTCCCATGATTGAGAGAAATTTTCGTTAGCTGATGTTTTCAAATTCACATTACTAATGAGTAGTTGCTTTAATGGCAATGTGATGTCAGGACTCTTGATCCTTGAGCCATATAACAAAATCTTCATATATATGAAAGTCATGTTTGGTACCTTGAACAGAAGGGATGTCCTGGCAATGCCTCACAGGCTAGAAATGACAATTGCAGGGATTTTACTGCTGTGCTGCTGAATGGGGCTGGGCTGTGCATGCAGCAGAGCCCTAAGGTAAGAGCCTCTGCTTTAGTAGACTCTGGTGATTCAGCTGTGCCAAGCCGGCTGTTTGATTGCCACAAGACAGCCTTGGGCAAAGAGATTAGTGTAAAGGGTGTGCCAAAAAGACTTGACATCTTTCTAAACGGCTGCAAGTGTACAAGCAGTGGTCTTCAAACTACTGTTTCCAGAAGTTGACTTCTTGCTGTGCTCCTGACATGGCTGTAAAAGCAGCAGCATGAAGGAATGCATTTTGCACATCAACTCTTAACTCTTCATCTACATGATTTGTCATGCTGGTATGACAGTAAAATTTTTGCATTCAGATAGATGGATAATAAAATTACAGACCATGTAAAGAGTTCAGAATTACTGGATAATAATTTCCAAGAGTGACTTGGCAGTTAGGTTGATGTCCTTTCATTTTAGCAGCACTTACATTTCAAGTAAGTTCAAATCACTGCTAAAAATTATGAAAAGCACATTTGAAATTTTTGTACCAAATAGGCAAGAAAGAACAATCGGCTACATACCAACCTATCTGAATTCAAAAAGCATTTGGACAATGCTGTCAGGCACACTGGTGATTCTTAGGGTGTCCTATGCAGGCCCAGGAGTTGGACTTGATGATAGTGATGGGTCCCTTCTAACTCAGCATATTCTATGATTCAGTACTGTTTTCTACATGTCTTAGGCAGTTCACAGCTTTTTATTCTGCTTCTTCCACTGATCTTAATTTTATATTTCATTTTTCATCTAAATATTATTTGTGCATCCAGTGTTCCGGGAAGTGTCAGTGTGTTGAAACAAACCTGTTTTACTGCTACACAGAGAACAGACTTGTATCATCAAGATTAGCATAAATATTGCAAGCACTGAATTTATTTGAACTCTTTCAAATGTCTGATTTTATTTATGGAAAGTTAAGTAAAATATAAATGTAAAGAAAGATAAATATAAGGAAGTAAAGTAGTGTCCACAACTGAAACTGAAGTTGCTGCAGCTACCACATAATTATTTCAGTATGCTGGCAACTGGATAGTCTGTATGGATGTTAGTTTATTTTCTGTAGAACGGGTATAACAAAGAAGAGGGTTTTTTTTTCAGATCACCCAGGTCTAGAAAATGTGGTGCAGATTGAGAAATTTCAAGAAAAAGCTTACATGGAGTTCCAAGACTATGTAACAAAGGCGTATCCAGATGATACTTACAGGTCTGTAAACTTAGATGCTTACTTGGTTGATTCTCATATCAAGAGTCACTGATTTAATGTAATAGACATATACATTTTCTTCTTACTTCCTTAAACTTAAGGAATTACCTTTAGAACACTTCAAATATTATGCATGTGGTCATACATACTATGTGTAGTATTTGTCATCTCATTATTAATTTCTAAAATTAAATGTCAAATAAATATTAGTAACATTCAATTTTAATTGCATCTGTTTGGAATATTTCCTCATTTAGTCTTAAATCCAAACATACATAGTACATGTAGTTGACAGGCATTGGTACATTTTCTGTATAGTTCAAGACATGACTAAACATAAATTTAATGCTATACTGATTTGAATATTTAAGCCTTTCATGAACTAGATATAGCAAACTTTGGCCAGTAGTGTCCCTTGTAATTTTTTTCTCTCCTTTTGCTAATAATATGAAGAACGACACGAAAATCTGTGATCTGCTAAGTAACACTTTTCCTCAATTTATTTTCCAGACTATCTAGACTTCTTCTCCGATTGCCTGCTCTTAGGCTGATGAGTGCTGCCATCACTGAAGAGCTGTTCTTCGCAGGACTAATTGGCAATGTTCAGATTGACAGCATCATCCCATACATTCTGCGAATGGAGACAGCAGACTACAACTCTCAGATCATAGGTCATGGTGTGTAAAAGTAGCAGTCCAGGATTCTGTACCATGGCAATCATGGTGATGTAAATGCATACCCTGTCTCCAAGAGATGGTCATAAGCCTTCCAACGCACTTTTCCAAAGAAGGCTCATATTCCTCCTTTCCAGTACACTTGGGAAACATGGTGGAGTGCATTAGAATATAGGATCACTTCCTGTTCTTTATCTGTCTTCAAGGACTTGTAAATTAACTTGTTATCTGAAGAAGGTCAAGAATTGTCCATCCTATTTTTGTAGGTAGACGGACTTGGAATATTTGTTTATGAAGTTCAGGCTTATGAGGAAACTGAAGAAGCTTTGATTGAACTAAGGTATCTCAACTTAGTTTGATGTTTTAGACAAATAAATTAACTTTCCTCTCTGAGTTTTGTTTTCAGTTTTTTGCTGCTAGTTCTTTTTCACATATCAAGTGGAAAATACATAGTCAAACATGCTGAAAAGGCCAGTTTCCATGCAGACAAGACCCAGCTTAGTTTTGGCTGTTGTTTTGAAGAGTGTTTTGTTTCCTGCTGAATTAAACACTGGATATCATACTCCCAAGTGCAGGGAAATAGAGGATGTTCACATTTAAAAATATTCTGATGTTAACATTGATGCAGCTGATCAAAAGAGAAGCAACAAAGAGTGACAGTTTTCCATGTGCAACAGAATACTGTATTGTAACAATAACATGTTAGGCATCAGCTATTTTATACTATGAAAAACTAACAGAGAAGTGTATACTGCAGGCATTCAAAGACAGCATACTCCTGCTTTTTCTGGTCTCAGAGCTTTTTCACACTACCCCTCCCTCTTTCATACTCAATGTTCAGTGACGAAGACATTCTAGATGCCACTTAGCTTTTGTCCTTGTCTTTATTTTTTGTTACGGCTAGCACTTGGGTATGTAATTCTCTTTTCCAACCAGTCCTGTATGATTCCTTTTCAAATTTGAGTTTGTCTAATCCAGTGTCCTTCCATATGGGAGCATAGCCTCTGCTGCTTTTCCTTTCCTCATTAGAAATGTGTCTAGATACTCCATACACGTTGCCTGAATCATACTCTATAGCTCCATCTATGGATGAGTTTAAATGCTCTTCTGTCTTGAGGATGTGACTTGCGTGACAAATAAAACTGACATGCCCTTGCTTCTTGTTTCCTTGCAACAGGAAGTTAAGCACCCCTGGCATGTTTATTTCCTCTTGCTTAAAATGAGAGAAGTATCCCAGTGAAAATGATGGTCTTCTTTAGACATTAGCACTTAGTATTTTCTGAATCTTGGGTCAAGGCTGAGTTCTATTTCGCATGACCCCTTTCTTTCTCTGGCAAAACTGAGTGAGGAAGAGCCTGACCCAATCAAGAAACACATGCCTGCACCAGAAATTGCTTAGCCAGAAGATCAGATTAAATGGAGGCCTTTGCAGTGGCAGTTCCAAGGCCACCCTAACACCAAGAGACTACAAGATGAGGCTTGGGTTCTAAAGTTCTTGAGTTCTGTAGTTTTTTCTCAGCAGCCAAGGATTGCTACCAGATAAAAAAACTGAGAGCTGCCTCTGACACTGAATTTCTGTGTTCTTCTGAATTCAACTAACTGAGCTGCTTGGATCTTTCTCTACCTAAGCTCCATAATCAGAGACTGTATCATAGAATCACAGAATCAGATGATGGTTGGGGTTGAAAGAGGCTTTAAAGATCATCTAGTTCCAGCCACCTTTATGGTCAGGAACGTCTTCCACTAAACCAGGTTGCTCAGAGCCCCAGTCAACCTTGCATTGAATGCTTCCAGGAATGGGGCATTCATAGCTTCTCTGGACAACCTGTTTTCTCTCCACCTTTAGAGTAAAGAGTTTCTTAATATCTAATCTAAGCCTGCTCTCTTTCAGTTTGAAGCCATTCCCCCTTGGCCTGTCACTACATGCTCTCTAATAAAAAGTCTCTCCATCTTTCTTGTAGGCTCCCTCAAGGTACTGGGAGGCTGCAGTTGGGTCACCTTCTCTTCTCCAGGCTGAACAATCTCAGTTCTCTTAGTCTTTCCTCACGGAAGAGCCCCAACAGCTCCATGTCCTTCCTGTGCTGGGACCCCAGAGCTGGATGCAGCACTGCAGGTGGGGTCTCACAGGAGCAGAGCAGATGGGCAGAATCCCCTCTCTCCTCTGCTGCCCACGCTGCTTTGGATGGCGTTTGGCTTTCTGGGCTGGGAGCGCCATTGCTGGGTCAGGTCCAGCCTCTCATCCACCTGCAGCGTGGTGCAGGAGAAGGACCAAGTCCTTCTCAGCAGGGCTGCTCTCCATCTGCTCATTCCCCAGCCTGGATAGATACCAGAGGCTACCCCAGGTGCATCACCTTGCACTTAGTCTTATTGAACCTCATGAGATTTCATGGACCCATTTCTCGAGCTTGTCCAGGTCCCTCTGGATGGCATCCCATCCTTCAGGTGTGTCAAAGGCACCGCTCAGCTTGGTGTCATCAGCAAATTTGCTGAGGGTGCTCTTGACCTCTTCATCTCTGTCATTAATGAAGATAATAACACTGTCCTTGATGTGGAACCCACATGTCACTGATGTCACTTGGGATTCTGAGCTACTGAACACTACCCTCTGGTTGCGACCATCCATCTACTTTCTTATTCATCTAACATCAAATCCATGTCTCCAGTTCAGAAACAATAATATTGTGGAGGATCATGCTACACAACTGGCCATATTCGATCCCACAGATCAAAGCACTTAGTGCTGAGGAGCCCTGATGGCATGCAGCTATGTGTGTGGGCCTTTGCTGTGCCTTCTCTGTGTTGGAACTGGCCATGGCAGCTGAGCTCTTCTCATGTTGTGCCTTTTGAAGGTTGTAGAGTTCAAGTTCTTTATCTGTGTTTCCTGGAGAGCTGTATGAAAATTACCATCCTCTGCTTCAGCAGGTGTGCATCTTATCAGCAAAGTTTATGGAAGTATGGAGGACTGTTGCTGCCAGCCTGCTGTGCTTGTTCTCTCCCCATGGCTTAGAGGCCCATTTTTGATCTGTAGTTGCAAATGGGAGGTTGATCATTCTCCGTTTCAGGTCTCCTCAGAAATTTTGACCCTGCTTTCTAGTCTCTTGCTATCCTAATCCACTTCTGGCCCTAGCAGGCACAGGAGACTTACAGTCCTCTTATGTTAAAAGTTTAAAGGAAACTGACAACATATTACTCCTGAATATATTGGAGGTGATTTTCCAGGCATTCCACTAGTCTTAGAAGAGTTTTACTCTATTATTCTCCAGATTTATGAAACCCAGGTAATAGTAAGATGGAAATAAAAACCTGCTTTCCTTTGTAATGAAGCACACTATGCAAATCTCTCTCACATCCTTGAAGAAATTTTTCACTCCATAGCTTGAGCCTCAGGTGTAATATGGAATTCTTTGTTTACAGTTGACAAAAAGGTTCAGCTGATGCAGCCTCTCATGTGGTACTGTCCAGATTTGGAAACAGCTAAGAAAATATCAGTGTTATCTACAGATGTAAACTTTTAGCAATTGAATCCCTCAGTTCAGCCATCTTTATTGCTTGAAGGGACCTTGAAAGATCTTTCATTCCAGCCTTTGATGGGAACAGGACCCCAGAAGAGACTATATAGTACCCTGTCCAGTCACATCTTGCAGTGATTGATTGCTCTCAGCATGAGAAATGTCTTATATAAGATTGTCAAGACTTCTTAAGGAGAGTTGCCTTGCACCAATGTCAGTCACTTCACTTAATATTCTAGGTTGGATTTCTTCTGAGCCCATGGATTTCTGTGGGTTGAGCCCTTGCAAGAGGCTGCAGGCCAGCTGTTCACCTATTGGTGTGTTGACACATGCACTCTTGTAGATGCGTGATTTGATGCTCTGCAGTCCAGCTGTGCTGGTAAAGATGGAAGTGAAGAATATACTGAGAACCTCTGCCTTACCAGCATGACTAGTGAGTAGCTGCCCTGCCTAGTTAGGCAATGGCTCTGTATCTTCCTTGTGCTTCTGCTTACTACTCACATATCTGTAGAAAGCTTTCTTGTTATTCTTGACATCTTTGACCAATTTTACTTCTGTGTGAGCCTCAGCATTCCTGCCCACATTTCTGCATGCCATAGCAAGGTTTCTACAGTCTTTGATGGGTATTTAGCTGCCTTTCCATAGCTAGTATGTGGTGGTTTTTTTTTTTTTTTTTTTTTTTTTTTTTTTTTTAATTTTAATCAGAGCAGATGTCCTCAGAACCCAATTTTCTCTGGATTCCTCTCTTTGTTTCCTCTTTGTGCTCTAGTGTGTTTGAATGCAAGTTAACTTCAGTTACATATGGAGTGCAACTACCACAGACTGCTGGGTCAAGACTTTGTGCTTAGGATGTTAACTCATAAGCACAGAAACCTTGGTCATGTTTCACATGAGGTTGTTTAAATTCAGGTGTTTGTATATTGTGAGGGACAAAAAACCCCTGCAATTTAAGATGTTGGATACCTCTGACATTTGGACCTCTAAAGAGCCAAAGTCCATACATACTACACGTAGCAAACAGCTCTGGCTACTGGTAAGTGACCTTTCTTCCCCCAAGGTTTTACAGTTTTATGATAATAAATTTTCAAGACTGATGTAAAGGTGGAGTGCAGCTGATCTATGCTGCCTGTCAAGTAATCTGTTTTGTCTTTATGATGATCTAAAAGATGCATCCCATACAGGATTGTTGTGTCAGTGTTGCTCACTTTGCTCAGCAAGATCTTCATTAATTATTTCAAATTATTTCATTCATAATTCTTAAACTATAAATTCTATATATCCTTTTGATAAGGAATGAGGCATAACAGACTTTTCTCAGGAATGGGAGCTTTAAAATAGGTAAATACAGGAATCAACATGTTTTTTCCTTATGCATCCATATTTACCATTACAGTCCTCTAAGAACAATGCAACAGCTCATGGAAAAAACCAAACCATGAAGTTCTGGGTTTGTTGTTTCAGTTACTTTAAGATAACTGCTTCTAAGTTAAATGAAATATATCAACTTACCTTCAACTGAGACCCTTAGTGTTTCTAACAGTCATTTTTTGTGATTACATAATCTCACATTACCACCTGTGTAATTTATTGTCATTTATAGTCTTATGAATGGATATTCCTTGGTACTGAATGAGAGACTGACTAACAGTACTGGGTTCTGTCAGTACCACTGTCAGTATGATGACAAAAATGTGAGTATTGAAGCTTAATCCACCACGGATGTTAAACTATTTCATTGTTTTTTTGATTTCTTTAAAACTTTAAATTACTTGTCAGCTTTTTGATCTTTACAAGCCTTGAGAGCTTTCAGAGCCAGTCAGGATTTAACCAAATTGTGGAGTTTACCAACCAAAAACTCTTTGCCAATGAAAGGAGAAGTTTAGTTTCAACAGCTTTAAATTTTCAATGTTGAAAGCAAGAAAAATCATTTTAATATAAATCACATGAAAGGAAAAACAGTTTTATATGTTTTAGAATCCTATAATTTAAAGATGATAGTACTGTTACACATAATAAGCTTACTAGTTCAAATATTTTTCATGAGACTGTATGTTGCACATGTGTATGTGGGTTTAGGTTGCTTGTTTCATACTGCTAAAGATCCTAGTGCAAATAAGTGTTATATTTTAAACTTTTTTCAAGAGTACCTTCATTGCAATACCTTCTGTAGTTACAAACCTATCTGTCTATACATTTATTCTTGTTGTGTGATCTTCAGGGTCAGTGAAAGTCTGTTGTTTTTGAAACTGGTCCTGTGCATTTTGTTCAGCCTTTGTGGTTTGCTAGTACATCAGTTTCAGTGTAAGCAATACAGTATCACTGTTGTCTTGTTGTTGTATAAAAAAATCACTTTAAATGTCTTGAAACCAGGCTAAATTAGAAAACTCTATTTTGGATGTATTTTTAAAAATAAATGGTAAGTTTCTATTATAGAAAACAATTGCAATATCCTATTATTTGTTAGTGTTTTATACAGATTGTCGTATGGACCTAGAACACTGTATATGATTACAAATAGTTTGTGGATCTTTTACATTTTTATTATACAGTGGAGTGTTCTCCGTTATATTCAGTCTCTGGGATTTGTGGTAGCTGCAATATCTTGCTGTTTGCTAATCTTTTTGCAATTAACCCTTTGTTTCCATGCTTACTACTTTCTGGCCTATGCATTTGACAATTAATAATTTATTGTAATATTTAATTTACTAGTGTTTTGGTTTTTAAAATGCTGTATGGAAATATGTATTGTAATGAACCCCAGTCATGGATCTTCATGTCCTATAATGCAATAATGGATACTTGGAAATTAGTATTCGATTCATGATGGATCAGTTTTAGGTTGAAAGTTAAAGTATGGTTGAACAAAGTGTTTTTTCTTTTGAAAGAAACAGACTTCAGATATTCAAGTAAACTTATCTCAGTTTTAAATACTACTGGATAAATTATTAATTTATTAATGCTTAAAATTGTGAAATCAGGAGAAGTTTTGGTCTATTTCAGAACTGATTTCTCAATGATATTTTTTAAAGTGTAAGGTTTTTAATTGTCATCTTCTGTTATAAACTACTGTGGCATTTATGTGGATGTACAGATAACCCAGAACATTATCCCAAATGAGAAACTAATTGCCATTCTTTTCATGTTTAAATTCTGAAATGTTTTTAGCATGAAGTAGATTAACTGACACACTGCAGAGAAAATATAAGGAGCACCAGTAAAAGATAAAGTTTGGATAATGCAATGAGTTTACTAATTACGAGAGCTGGAAATTAGCATTTAGAGTCTCTTTCTCAAAAAATTTTACTCCAGGCTCTATCTTGCCTCTGATTTGAAAACTTAACCTTTCTTGGTACTTAGAATCACAGAATGGTTTGGGTTGGAAGGAGTCTTAAATATCATATAGATCCAACCCCTGCAATGGGCAAGGATACTTCCCACTAGACTAGATTGCTCAAAGCACCATGCATCCTGGCCTTGAACACTTCCAGGGATGGGGACAACCTGTTCCAGTGTCCACTACCCTTATATAGAATTTCATAGAATCTTAGAACTGTTAAAGTTGGAAAAGACCTCTTGGATCACTGAATCCAACTGTTTCATCCTCATGTCCAGTCTAAATCTGCCCTCTTGCAGTTTCAAACCATTGGCCCTCATCCTATCATAACAGGCCCGAATGTCTGTCTCTCTTGTAGGCCTCCTTTAATTGTTAAAAGGCCACTAGAAGCTCTCCTCAGAGCCTTCTCTAGGCTGAACAACCCCAACTCTCTTCATAGGAGAGGGGCTTAAGCCCTCTGACCATTTTTGTGGCCCTCTTCTGGATCCACTGACTTCTGCAGGGCCCTGTTCCCCAGTCAGTCTGCTAATGAGCTACTCTTTCTTCTGCTAGTAACATCCACAGCCTTTTGGCCACCTCTGTGGCATTTGACTTTTTCTGTCTACAAACATCCCCTAGCACCCCGTCTTGCCTTATCTCCCAATACCTCTGTCAGATAACTCCAAAGAACATTTCTATTTATCATAGAATCTGTCTATGATGAGCTGCTTTGTTTTTTCTTCCCATGTGTACCAAATCTTGTCTTAATACATGCTGTGGATAGCCTTACCCTTGCCCTGATGCACAGTGACTAAGAGAGAATACAATTTTCTCTTAGGTGAATCTTTATGAGAAGAAGGCAGGGTTGTGCATTTGGCTTGAATGCAAGAACCGATTGTGCCCTCTGAGGCACTGTGTTGCAGGTGCAAGTCATTTGGACTGCTAGAGCATCACCATCTTTGAGTATCAACATCTGAATGCTTAAGGTTTTCATGGCTGTTGATACTGGTTGAACAACTGCATTTCCCGATTATTTTTTTAATAACTGGATCTTGTAGTAATGCTTGCCCAAATATATTTTCAAGTTAACTCTGCTTGGATTAAGTGGAAGTGGTGGGGTGCTGATAAGGAGACAGGAATATTGGTGTTCTGTGTGAAATTGTAGGGGGAAAGTGATGTTACAGGAATACTTTTAACTAAACTGTGGTGGATTTGCCTGTGACAACAGAAACCAGATGGAACTGCTCCACTCTGGGTTCTTCTGAGCTAATACAGTACATTTCACTCAGCAGAACTGTCTGCTGGACATCTAGAGAATCAAACTGCCGTGCTCTGAACCTCCTGGCAATACCAATTCCCAAGACAAGAAAGTTGGTTGGCAAGAGACAAGTTAAAGTTGGTTGGCAAGCGGCCAACCCTGTGGCTTTGGTCCTTTACAGATCTGCAGTCCAGTCCCTTCCAAGAACCTGTTCATGAGGTGTCTGAGCTCCTTTATGCTGACTTCAGTTCTCCTGCATCCTAGGGTTTTACTAGGGAGCTAACTGAACAGCCACATAGTTTGGCTAATGAAGACTAGCTGAGGAACAGCTCCAAAAGGAATTTTTCTTTCACTCTGTAACCAGGAGAATTTTGCCATTGGAAAATCAAAGATGAAGGTAGAGTTACTGCTGGACAAATAACCCACACACTTCCCACAAAGTGGCAGTGTTTTCTAAAAGTGCCAGTAAATTTATTATTCTAGGGGTTTTGAGAGCTAAAATGTTCTCACAGTTTACATACTAAAATATTTTTGAAAATTATAAAGTATGTACTTTTTTGGTAACATTTCACTTAGTTCCAGGCTATGAAGTTATCTTCTAATTTTTTCAATCAATAGCACCCAAGTGACAAAAACTTATTCCACTGTGTTTTTAGGAAATCTATATGGATGATAAGACTAAAAAATGTTTTAGTGAAAGCATTAGAGATTTCACTGTTTAGATTAAAGCGAGAGACACTATGGTTAGAGACTGGATTAGATTATTATTGGACACTGAATTGTGGAGATTTGTGTTGTGGCTTGGACTTTGCTTCTGGAATTTTGCAGTTTTAGAAGGATGGGGCAGGAATAAGAGCATTATATGCTCTAATTTGTCAGTCTTTCTTATGTTGGATTTTTTTCCTAATTTAATTAAGAAAAGAATTTCCATTTTTTTGTTGTAAATGCATGTTCCACAGTTGTGAACCACTGCAGAGTAAATTTACATGACTTTCCATACTAAGAACAGAGGAAAGAAAGAGCAGTGGAATAGGTAAATGTAATAAAAAGTTCTTCTAAGGTAAAATGTAAACACTAAATTATTCTGTAGATCAGTTGACTTTTGCACTTTCTGAGAAAATAATGAATTTCAGTTTTTCAAGATCAATTGTACAACTGAATAAAACTCTTTAAACTATGTAGGATTCAGTGAGATGGTTGTGTGCCAACAAAATTGAGGGAAGTTACGTGTCATCCTTTGAGTCATTCAGGAAACAGATTTATTTTTGTAAAAGATGTTGTTTGTTATGCTCTATTAGGAAAGAGGCCAGTTACTTGTGTTCAGATTTGAGAGGGGTTTTTTCAGGCTTGAAAAAGAGTTCTGGTGCTAATTTTTTGACATGTACTTGAACTAGAGGAGCAAAACAAGGCAGCATTAAATATATTTAGCAAGAGTTTTTGAGGCAGTGAGGTTCAGTGTGCTATTTTTGGGGTAAAAAAAAAGCAACATCTAACAAGTTAAGTTTAAAAACCCTGGGGATTAAATATTTCATTTGGGTGCATGAGTTTGAGAAGCACCTTAAGTGACAAGACAGCATTTCAGTGCTGTCTCCAAAGATGTCCCAGTAAATCCTTAGAAGACATACTTGGATTTGCATTTTACTGTATTTTACTGTGACATTTGCACCGAGTTCAGGGAGAATTTTTGAGCACAGTAGTCAGGTTCTCTTTTTCATGCACAGTGACACATTAACAGAAGTAGTTTGAGTACATGTGATGGGACTTCAGCAGTTATGAGGTAATGAAATCCTCAATGGAGATGCCACTTGACTAAAGTAATGGAGAAAATAGTACCAAAAAAATTTAAAATGCAATTCAAAGAACATGCTGTAAAATGTTCCTGCTACTAAGAAAGTATTCCCCACAAAATCTTCTGTAGCAACAAAATCACATTAAGAAGCTGATCCATTCTTCCAGCTTTGTGTCACAATGCCTTGTCTTTCACAAAGGATGCTTTCTCAGACAAAGAACCATGGTGCCTCATGAAACAGTGAAGTGATCCAGATAATTTTAACACTTGAGGGGAAAAAACCCATAACAAATAACTATACTATTTCACTGCTAACAGATAATGCTCATGGAATTATATTTGCAGTCGGTGAAAATTATCACTGTCACATTAATGAAAGGAGTAAGTTTAGAAACTGGCATAAGCATTGAACCTATACAATGTTTCCAAAGTTGGCTTCCTAATTTAAACTATATTTCTTTCATGTTTTATACTCCCTCATCAGTAATTTTTATCAAAATAATGGTTATTGTGGATGAAGTAAAGACAGTGAATTCTGACTGTAAATGTTCCTCCCTGGTTTTAAGCCTGCTAATGTACATGTATCTGACCAAATTTTAATACATTTAATAAATTTTCTAAGACTTTGGACTGTGAAAATGCGAATTAGCTGCAACAAGTATACTGAAGCCTAAGACTTGTCGCAAAAGAGATGCTGTTGTTCAAGCGCAGAGCACAGAAGCAGCAGCGTCTATGTTTTGTGTTTGAAAATAAAACCACTTGCACTAAAACTAAAAAGTTTTGAGTGGAAACTCAGACCACTAGACTTTACATTGAAATGGATATATTTCTACACTGTGAACTTGGCTGACCCAGGCTTTTCTCAGTCTCATTCTCCTTTCAATTTTAGCACTACCTATTTAATTTTTCATGGCAACTCCTCTGCTTTGTCCCTTCCCAAAACCCCAGTTCTGATAGGGACAGTGTCTAGCAGCTTGGCCTTTCCATGTTTGACAGCCGGTCTCTGCTCATCAGCCAGCATTGGTTGCAGCACTGATGATGTGTTTACCAGGTGCTTTTCCAAGTCCTGCCTGCTCTGACAAAGTACAATGGATCTAGTTTTGTCTGCCCTGTGTAGCAGTGGCCTTGTGAAGGTCAGGGAAATAGTTTCTGCATTTTGCCTGCTCAGCCTTGTAGCAACAGTAGTAAAGTCCTGCCAACATTCACAGCAGGGCAATCAAAGGTGTTTCCTTGGGCTGGTGCAGAACCAGGAAAAGGCACTGGGACAAGATGGAGAAGTGGAGTGGACACATGGATGAGATGATAGGTACACATTCCTTGATGGCCTGCCAGGGTTGGGAAAAGCCAGGAGAGACAAGACTTTAAGCTTTCCTCTGGCCATCACTTGCAGTCTGCACGGGGTGAGATGTCACCTGCCCTGCCCCTTGATTCTTGGTCCGGCCAGTCCTGGAGTCCTCACTGCCACGTCTGGGTAACTTTTCTCACCACACACCTTGTGACCTGTGTGAAATAAAGGACTGTCAGCAGACAATTATAAATTGTCTATATATTGTCAATTATAAAGAGGCTTTTCTCCCTATCCTGAAGTTCTTTGTATCTTGCTGACCTTCACGTGTAAGCAGCAGGCAATTGCATACGAACGCAGACTGCACAGACTGGGAGGCAAATGGCAGCGTCCCCACCAGCAGACGCCCTTCAGCGCCCTTCTCGCTGCCGGTTCCGCTTCCGCCGCTGCCGCCAAGGGCGGGAGGCGGGGCGGTGGGAGGCGGCGGCCCGCCCCAAGATGGCGGAGTACGTGCAGGTGCTGAAGCGGGCGCTGAAGCACATCGGCGGCCACGGCGGCGCCCGCGGCGCGATCCTGCAGCTGCTCAGGTAACGCGGCACCGGCGCGGGCGGCGCGGCCTCCCCGCGGGTCACCCTGAGCGGCGGCGGGCGGGGGCGGGCGCGGGGGGCGCTGCCTCGGGCGGGCGGCGCGGGGCCCGGCCGGCCTCGGGAGGAGCTCGTCCCGCCCCGCCCAGAGCGGCGTGTCCCGGTCGGCCGTGAGTGCTGCGCTCAGAGCGGCCCCCGGGCGGGGCTCACGGCTGTTTTCTCTTCTTGAGGCACCTTACAGGGATCCTGTCGGTGTTGACCGGGCCGGTTGTCCTGGTGTCCAGCCCCAGTCCCTAGTCTTGTTGCTACAGCCGTGTCTGCTGTAGCTGCACTCAGCGTTTCTGTGTGCACTATCGTGCTCTTTGCCCTGGGTAACCTCAGGCTGGCAGTGGCTTTCTTGAACAGTACAAATCTGATATCCGTGCATTGCTGAAATCCCGTAGTGTAAAGCAAGAGAATTACTTCATCTGCGTTATTGGCTCCCTTTCTTCTAATTCGCTTCAAACTGCAGATCACATCTGCTTTTTGGCAGAGGATTGTCACCGCTGACCTATGCTCAGCTTTGGATGCCGTCCAGTCCAGTGGCATTTAGTGCAAAATAAGTTGCAGCTTTTGTTTCCATTCATGTCTAAGTACTTTCTTCCCCAACTACAGAACCTTGTACTTGTCCACATTAAACTTTCTCCTGTTTTTTTTCCCCCTCACTCACATATCTCTTTCTTGTGACAAGTATTTTGAATTGTGATATAGTATGCTTGAAGCTGCTCCCAAATAGGAATGTCAGGTTTACAAAGATACTCTTTTTTCCATTCAGATCCTTGATGAAATGTAGGGTGGAAGTCTAAATAGTGCGTGATCCAAATTCAGCAGTGTCAGTAACCTCTGTTATCTTTACAGTTAGTCCTGGAAAAGTATTAGGACATATCCGTAAATGTTTTAGGCCTGACCACATGCTAAAAAGCCTTTTTTTAATCAATATTGGGAAGTTAGGATTATGAGATAGGAGTGATTTGCAAATATAAAATATCCTGCTATATATTAAGGGCTTTCTTATCTTAGAACAAACAAGCCAAGCTTTTTGAGCCTTCTTGAAGGCTTTCCTTCTGCCCATACGCATCATAATGGCCCTTTTTCTGTTATTTCTTGTGGCTTAAATTGACCTGTTTTGAGGAGTTAAATATAACCTTTTACACAGGTGCTGATCAGGCCTCATGAGTATTTTCAAATAGTGGCTTTAGTCCCTGCCCCAGAGCAGTAAGACAATACATGGGTTTCCTGGCTAGTGCTTTACTGCTATTATAATTACTTTTTTCTGTCACATACCTACCCCCCCCCCCCCCCCCCAGCTTGTTTCCTCCACTTTGTTTTCCTTCTCAGGCTGTAGCTATTACTCTGAGAGTTCTCAAGAAGAACAGAGCTGGGGAAATGAAAGTGCAGAAGAGTTTGAGTGTTAGGTGTCATCAGAGTGGTTCCTTCCTAAGCATAGCTTAATAAATGTCTCCTCAGAGATCTTTTGTGAGTCTGAGATCACAGGCTGCGTTGACACCTTTCTACCACACAGAAAAAGAGGGCAGGCAAGACTGGAGGCAGTGCTGTCCTTTTTTGCCTTCAGAAGGCTGAAGTTAGGTGTGCTAGGTGGGGAGGCACAGCCAATCCTCAAACAGCTGCTGCCTCCTGCTCACCTTTCAAGCCATTAAATCATCCATCCCAGTTCAGGGAATAGGTTTAATGTTTAAAGAAAGAGTTATCAAGGTGTTCTTTCTTGCAATGGTTGATTTTAATCACTGGTAACTGGGAAAAAAATTATTCACCCAAGTCAGGAGACTCTTTCTCTGAATTTCACTGCTTTTCTCTATGTGTTTTCCACTAAAGCAGCTGCAGAAGATTTATATGCTATGAAGTCAAATTACTAAGAGCCTTTCTGGCTGGAACCATTCTCCTTACTTAAAATTCAGTGAAATTGGTTGGAAAATATTCTCAGGAAGCCATAAATACCTTTTAGTGTCTGATATTGGTATTCAGGGCATGAAGTCAAGACAAGGGCATAAGAACACTGCAAGAAAGGGAGGGGGAAAAGGAAGGGAGAGCAGCAGTGGAATGGCTCTTCTTTTTCCAAAGCTGGAAACTCAGACTTCTATAGTGGAGCCAGAGATCTTTGAATGTTTCAGATGAATGTGTCAGAGAATTTCTCTGCTTGCCACCACAGAGGTTTAAAACGAGTACTTGCTGGAATGATTATTACTTTCACGCACCCTGGGAGAAAAGACAACAAAAAAACTTCATCTGAGCATTCCTCCTCTCACTTGGGATTGAGTTGAGAGTGTGCATAGTACTACAAACAACTAAAACCTTTGAGAGGAAACTTTTCCCTATCTAATGCTGCCTAAGTTGAATGTCAGTAAAAAGAAAAGTAAAATTGCAAATATAGAGGGAGAAGTGCACTTTGATTAAGGTTTTATGACTAGAATGTAAATCATAGGCTCAGTTTAATGACTGATTTCTACATAATGTAAAATATGTTCTATATAAAGAGTTGAAACTCGTATATACCTTATCTGGGTCAATGTAAGTCTCACAGAGTTGCAGGGTGAATGCACGAATCTTTTACAATTATACAAAAGCAAGAAAGTAACAATTATAGCTTAGGGTTTAGCATGTGTTTCCTTGGCAAGCAGCTGCAATGACCTAAAATATTATTAGTATTCCTCTCTTAGAGGTTACTGCCCACACAGACATATGGGGTCTCTTGTGCTGCTCCAGTGCTGACCACCTGGGAAATTCAGGCTGAAATAGTAGCTGCTAATAGTTGAGAAGGATGGTAACATTTCCTACTAAGTGGATTAACATGTGCCTCTGGGACTCCCACAGTATTTAAGGTTTTGTGGGTGTTAAATTGTTACATTTTATCTATTATAACAGGCTGTTAAATAAAGTGAGAGTCCCTGAAAGCCTTTTTGTATGGCTTTTATCATCCTGTCAGTGGGGTGCACGTTAATTGCAGGAAATGGTCATTGTTTTGCAATCCATAAGCTTGAATAGGTTTTTAAAAAAATATCTTTGCATACATGTATACAGATTTTTACTAACTCTGAAGAAACCTCTGTCACAATTTCATTCTGAGAGGACACCAACTGAAACTGTTGTTTTGATAATTCACAGGGTCAATGATTTGAAGACTGGTAATCTGATAGGAATTGACAAATATGGAAACAAATACTATGAAGACAAAAGAAACTTCTTTGGTACGTGTGCTAATGTGAACACCTCCCAGCCAACTGTGCAGCTCCCACATAGCTTGAGTGCTTTCTGCTAGTGAAATGCAACTTGTTGCCTGACTTCCCTGCACTTGTCTTGTGTGAGTCTTAAGACTTTCAGAAATGTTTTGACAGCTTCTGTTTCTCTGTTGCATCCCTCAATTCATTTGGAAACACAGTCAATATGAAACAATGAATATGGGATAAATATAAGCCCATCATACGATCTCAGTGTAGGTAAAGCTATTATATGATAATGGGATTGAGAGTTGAATTTGGTCCTTGACCTAAAGGCTGTAGTTTGACAGGTTGGGAAAGAAGGAGAACTGTATTTAAAACTGCCTCACAGCTTTACTCACTTATATGATCACTTCAGGACAAAGAGCACAGGCTGGTTTAAACTTACTGTTACCTTAAGTAATGGGATTTTAAATCAAGCTTCTAGAGTACTTTAAAAGGCAGCACCTAAAGCAACACAGGTGACACATAAGCAGTTGACACGCTGGTCAGGCCAAGCTAACTGCTGACTGTAGGTTAACTTGGAGTGAAACCAGGGAAAGCACTTGCTGGTTAACATTGCTTGGTAGTTTTGTGTAGCTGAAATTTAGTTTAGTTTTAGGTTATCAGTGGAAATCCCTTTGGAAAAGACTCCTTATAACAGAGGAAAAAAACCCCCAAACCTGTTTCTCTGCCTGAAAGTTTTATATGTTCCTATTTCCCAGTATTTATACAATAGCAAATATTTCCTACCTTATGGCAGTGTTAGATTCAGTCATCTAAAACTGCAGTAACAGTGGAAATACAGAAGACTTGGAAAATAGAAGCTGTGCTGGTTTAAAAATAAGTGCCCATTATGGTAGATACTGTCAGTCAAAACATTTTGCCTTGGTTTTCCTGAATTCTCTCCTTTATAAGAAAATAATTTTTTTTAGCTAATATGATATTTCTGTTTGTTTACTTAAGGTCGGCACAGATGGGTTGTATATACTGATGAAATGAATGGCAAAAATACCTTCTGGGAAGTTGATGGAAGCATGGTGCCCCCTGAATGGTAAACTATTTAGCTTAATAATGTGGATGGATACCATTTGTGTAATTGCTTTATATTTTAATATATTACAAAGCAGAAGATTAAAAAAAACTTTCATGGATTGTCTGTGACCAGAAGATTTCACACTTGTCACTTCTGATGTTGAACTGCCTTCATGTTTATTGCTTGCTGTCCTGGCAGAGACACTCACTGATTTTTGGATTAAGAAAAGCATTTTGCCAGGCAGATTGAGCAGGTCAAGATAGTCTTCTAATTTTCTTTATTACTTGTAATACCCTGTTAATGGTTTGGCAAAGCCTTGGCCACCAGAAGTAAAATATTTGTTATTTCCATAATAAGCAAGAACCTAAAAAACATACGGCAATGGTGGAACAACATTCCTTAACCCACAGCCACTAACAGGATAATTGTTTCAATTTATATACACTGATATGGTAGTAAACATTAAAGTGCCAGGATGCTCCATATGTTGACTGTTACTTGACTATAATTTTTGTTGAGGTTTTGTTTTG